GCGTAATAATTCGTTAATATAAATCAGAGAACCTCCACCACCTCTTGTAGACCTATCCGATCGCAAAAGATTATAGCCAGGGATAGTTACAAAATTTGAAGGAGTTGACTGATCTAATTTTGACTCAGTAAAACAGCTAACTGAGAAGGGCTCGCTGGTTAAAAAATGTCGTATTTCGTCCATCTTTCCCAAGATACCGTTACAATTGAGGTGTCCTATCCTCGTACCATTCGTGAAATTAGGGAGAGGAACTTTTTCTATACTACATAAATTAATACCTAAGTTTAGCTGTACATCAATATTAATATTAAAATTAACGTTCTCCTCACTAAATGTGGGGTCATGCGGTAAAATGTCGATGAGGTTCGTTGACGTTGACTGTTGCGGTGTAGAACATGACGAACAAGTCCAAGATTTTTGAAATGTTGTTGTCCATTCATGGCGAAGAATTTTTGTAGGAAGACAAATCCGGTGATAAGGGTTTTTGCAAGTTTTGCAGCGAATTTTATGCTGGTGGGGTTTGAAGGCGAGATGACATTCCATACAATTTAGGGAAGACATATTTTACAGAATCGAGGGGAGGTGTCTTCATTGAGAGGGGGGTCGGCAAGCTTAAAAGAAAGCAATTCATTAGATTGAGCAATTTTTAATTTAAAATTGGACTCTACAACCCCGGCATCTCCCGAATGCTCGGGAGTTGGCCCTCAACGAGGCAAGGCAATAGTGGGAGATTTCCTTCCAATTGTGGGGATGGTTCCACCCGAAGATGAGGATATTCCCTTGTCAAGGTTGAGTCCAAGAGCATAACTAATGTAAGTTATAGGCAGGAGAATCCACTTATTCATATGTAGGGGTGGTATATAGGTTGGAGGTTGAGAGTATTGTTGAAAGTATTGTCGAAAAAGGTCACTAATGGGTTCAGCACGACCTGGATTTCACTCACACTTTCTTAATCGTCGTAAAGGGGGTGTGTGGGAAGTATTTTCAGAATTTTAGGTGTCCGATAACGCCCAAAACTTTAAATAATGTATGTATGTATGTAATCTGCTCTCTCTGTCTCTGTCCTCATTTTACTATTAGAAAGAAAGACAGTACCAACCCCTACACCAAATTTCAGCTTAATTAAACCGGGTCTACAAAATCAGTATGGGTCCCTCCATATCCCTTTACATAAAAAAAATACAGTGCAGACTCCATATAGCCCGAGTCAGGGTTAGGAAAGGAATTATCAATCCGACTATTTTATATTAATTTGAACTAATATTCCAACCTACCAAATTTCCGCTTAATTGGACGATTTAAAAATATCGGTATGGGTTACCCAATAAGGTCATTTCGGGAATTTTTTTTCGCAACTTCGTTATATTTACGTTAACTCGTTACCTGGACCATGTTCACCTTACTCGAGGCGGACATGTCCGAGTTGTGTCCGCGTCCACCTCTATGCCGGGACCATATTCATCTTACAATGCAGGGTTTTCTCGTGTAATACTGGGATATTGATGGGACTAATTTTAATTTATTCCTACCCAAAAATTAGCGGACCCGTATTTTGGCTTTTTTCTTAATGCGCGTATTTGAGCGCGTGGCGGGCATTTCAAACAAAATTTCAGCCAAAAGGTCCGATTTTTAAATGGCTGCAACTTTTTGAATTTTAGCGCGAATTGAAAAAACTAAAGACATGTATGCTTAGAATTATCTTCTATACAATATAAATATTTCATTTTTTTAAATTTTTAGAAAATTAAATTTTTTGCAGCAGCTGCTATTTGTCAAAATTCGAAATTTGGGTAAAAATTGTAATTTTCTAAAAAAATTAAAAATGAAAATTTTATATTGTATAGGAAGTAATTCTAAGCATGCATGTTTTTAGTTTTTTCAATTCGCGCTAAAATTCAAAAAGTTGCAGCCATTTTAAAATCGGACGTTTTGGCTGAAATTTTGTTTAAAATGCCCGCCACGCACCCAAATACGCGCATTAAGAAAAAAGCCAAAATACGGGTCCGCTAATTTTTGGGTAGGAATAAATTAAAATTAGTCCCATCAATATCCCAGTATTACACGAGAAAACCCTGCATTGCTAGTCGAGGCAGACCATGCAGAGTCCGAGTTCATGCCTGCACCATGTTCACCTTGCTTACTTGACTCGTACGGTAAGGCCGCCTTACATGGACTATAACCATGTTGATTCTTCAACAAAAAAACTCAGCTGACTGACCGGTCCGGTCATTCATGGACTTCCTACTAGCCTATCCCTCAATGCTTTAGTGTTATAGCATTGGGGGGATGCGTTCCTTACAGACACACAGACGGAGACTGGGCTATTCTTATTATAAGTAATTCATACGCGGTGTTGTGTGGTATCATATATAATCAACTTCAAAAAAGTGTCAAATGTTGCGGCAACATTGGGCAATCATGCATGATCTCATTGTATATATATAGATTGTGATGTAAAACTTTACCTTGACTTGGGCTACATGTATGTAGTCTGTACACTGCACAACGGGAGACGCTTTACTATTTTCCGTTGACAAACTGTTACTAAAACGGTACCCCTGAGGGAGACAATCCGTTCCAAAAATTATGGACAGTGCATGTTGGCGATCTCGCTAATTACAAAGTCACAAATCTATCTCGTTGCCTTTAACCGTACATAGGATAGCGCATCCCAAAAGTTACAGACACTTCACCCACATACATAATGTTCATACGCTGAATTCACAATTGTTGCTTGTTTGTTTGTTAAAATTATGTTGTGGTCCTTAAGTAATCATGCGATGCAACAAGGAAAATTAACAATCTTCATAATTAATTTTGTAGTTTCGGCGAGAATAAAACAATATTGATTGAAATTATTGAATTTACTTGTCATTGTCCTTATTATCTAGCCATGGTGATGATTTGGGTTTTTCATTTTAATTGATGTTTGACATGTTCAGGAAAGTTTGTCATAGATTAAATGGATTTCGTGATAAACAAAGTCGTCAAACATGTCTCCTTGTATTACTATTATATAACTACAGTTTAACGTATATACTGCTGCGTAATTCTTGACCACCTTCATAGTGCAAAGTCAGATTACCGTGCACACAAAATAATCCGGTCACAGATGAAGTCATATAGTCATATAGTCACCAGACTAGTCATAGAAAAGTTATAACCGCGTGGTCATCAATTTGTTACCGCCGGTAGTAAAGGTATTACTAATTTGGTAATATATGTCACTCGCCAGCTGGTAACTATTACCAGACTGGTAATAAATGTACGACTGCTCAGTAATAAATTTATTACCATGGCGGTAGAGTCACATATGGTCACCGCCGGTGATATCGCTTATAAATAATTATTAATTTCCAGTGTGGATGTCTGCGTGATTTATCTGCGAACATTTTGAGACCAGCCGTACAATCGTGGTTATTGAGCTGGTAAGTTTTTAATGAAACAAAACCATAGTGCAGTTTCACTGGAAATGCATGAAAACTACTAATGTGATTAGAATCCCGTTCGCTTTTAAAAATTATGAGTGGTCTAACTTTAATCTTATTTGTAAAATTGTCAAAATTTCGTAAAATGGTAAAATCAAGGGGACCAAACCGCACCTCTTTCTATACTGGCACCTTAAGTGGGTTTTAATTATATTTTACATAAAATCTCATTCTAAAAGCAAAATACATCTAGCACGCGTTATGTAAATGGAATATTTCAATCTGAGCAGGAAGTTTATTCAATTAAAGTTCTGTTTTTTTTGGAAATCTGACAAATTGAGTGCCATCCAAAGTTTCAGGTGACACAAAAGATTAATTTTTGAACCAAAATAGTTTCTAATGTGGGTAAACTAATATGAGATTAGGAATGGATTTACAATAGGTGAAAATTTTGTTTCTTCCATTTTTATTTATTAAAACCCAACAAAACCCAATAACCCATTAAAACCCGTGGGTTGTTAATTTTTGAAAAAAACTCTGGGCTCATCCGAACCCTGACTCAACTACACAATTTAGCACATTATCTTGAAATACGAGAGATGTTATCTGACTTTGCATTTCACTACGCAATTAATAAAAGTGTCTGTGTGAAATGACAAATCCGAACTATGTGTCTGGATTGATTATGATATGTGCAAGGGGGTCATGCAACACTAACGTCAAATTGGAACGAAGGTTCTAACAAATTCCAAATGTAGAGGAAACCCTGGAATTATGATTTTATAAAGGTTGGATAAGTTGGAACTGATCTAGAAATTTAAAGCTATAGAGGCATATCGTCGTACTAATTCTAAATACTTGTATGCCGCATCTATGGTTAATTTTAAAAAGTCCTATGTTGCAAAAAAATATTATAAAAAATCTTATATTGCATAATAAGGCAATGCAACATAGGACTTTTTAGAATATATTTTGTAACATAGGACTTTTTAAAATTAACCATCGGCCCGACATAGAATTAGTACAACAATATGTTTGATTGCTCCATATTGTTTGATAATAAAGAAGCACCGTTTATATAAAACCCAAGCCTGCTCGTATACCGTGGACCACTTGTAATTTAAACATACTAGTAGTAGATGAAGACTCAACTACTTGACTTAAGTAGTTGAGTCTTGTACTTGTCTGTACTTGTCTTGGTTGCAACGACTTCACATATTCACCCTGACCTTTAACTTTTCCACGCCATAATATCATGCGAAAGTTATGTATTTGCGTTCCAATCTTGTTGAAGATTAAAGTAAGAGTTGATGAAAAATATGATTTTAGTATGTGGGAGGAATGTAAGCCTAAGACTTATTCCTATATGTTATTGCAAAATAGTTACAATGTACGAATATGCCGAAGATCATGATTTTTATTTATTTGGATTAAATGATGCTTTGACTAATTTAGTAGCTATATGAAGTAATAAAGACCAACTAACTAAACTCTCTTCACAAAATTTATTTTTCTTTGGCCGTGAGATTACTCCAGCCAGATGGATAAATTTTATATAATTCCACGCTCTGCAAAAATTTATTTAAAGGATGCAAACCGTCGACAACGTAAATGGTTAAAAGACGATACAGTTAAAAAACAAAAAATTCAGGAAGTGTTACAATTCGAAATACAGATTGCTAAGATCAAATCTCGCCAAAGATATCTTGATTGGATACGGAAGGAAAATCTCGTGGTAAGTATATATATATATTTTAATTAGTAATTACGTTGATGCTGAGGGATGATATTTTGCAGGGCGTAGATGAAGACACCAACAACGAAGAACCTGAAACAAAATAGTAATTTTAGAAACTATCTGAAATAATTTTTCTAATACTTAGAAAGTGCTGTGAAACCACGAAGACTATATAAAATTAAGTTACAAATAGTTTTACCTTCCTATACTTCACTGCTCCGAGCTGATCCCTCTGGGAAGTTCAAAGGGCTAGAGGACCCGAATCCTCCTGCTCCCCTAGTCGTAGGTTCCAACTCCTAAAGTAAAAAAAATAACAACGATGATTAGTCTAAATAATATTAATAATTGTTACATAAATAAATTCATCACCTCTATTTTTTCCAGAGTTGGATACAGATATGGTTGCACAATTAATTGTGCAACCGCCTGACCTTTCTCAATTATTTTTGAGCAACTAGTCAAATTTCGCATTACCACTTCAATCTCTCCTCTATAATCACCATCTATGACTCCTGCTCCCACAGATAGTCCTTCCATGGATAAGTGGGATCTTTCCCGGATACTGCCAAAGTAGTTGTCCGGAAATTGGAATCGCACTCCGGTCTTTATTCGAGCTACTCCCCATGGTGGAATAACGTAGTCTCCACCACTGTATTAAAAAACAAAATGCAAAATTGTTACAACAATTCTCGTTTGAGACAAAGGACGAAATTAAGTACCTTACCTCCATAAATCAATTCCAGCCGACTTCTCCGTACCTACTTTTGGCTTGACCATTAGCTGCTCTGTAGGAGACTCTGACACACAACTGTACGTTATCTTTGGATCGCAAATTGGAGTTGGAACCTAGGGATAAGTTTTATTTATATGAATTATTTTATGCATGTATGAAAGAAAAAGAAAACTCACCATAGGATTTATCACAGCTACTTGAATTAAGTACCCAATGCAGTCCCCAAACTCTATCGATCGATTATGGCGAGTTAAGTTGTTAACGTAAAAGCTGACCTCATCATGATAACCATATACGATTGTTCCTCCTTGTATCTCAAGTCCCCGGTTTGCCCAGAAGTCTGGTTCCATGATCATGACGAACCTCCATTGTTTGAGATGAATACGTAAACCCGTATGTACCCTCACCCTCGATTTTGGGGGGATGATATAGTTGTCAATACTACAAATTAAAAAAAAACACATGATTAATTTTTATGCTAATTATTATTGAGAAAATAAATAAAAACTTGCCACATTATATTCAGTCCTACAGAATTTTTTGGGCGATGAGGTTTCAAATGGTTTGCTTTTATATGAAATTTCTGTCCTTGCTAAAATCATTCAATTACTGCACAAAACATACATATGCAAACATATTACCATTTATGTATGTTTAACATTATTATTATTATTATTATTATTACATAAGATATCAGGTATTACTATTATTAATATATATAAATTTATCGATACCGAAATCATGGACTTTGTTTTTGCAGATCTTGCAATTTTCTTGCTAGAGATAATGCATGGAGTGGGTTCCAAGCTTGTTCACTGATTTAGCTTCTTAAATACCCATTAGCAAGTTTTTGTATAATTGTGTGAATGATCCATGTCATTCATTTCTGAAAAAGTGCAAGCTTGGCATCCCTCCATGGATTGATCACATGCAGCGATCATCATCTTGATCATCTCAGCATTGACATCATCGTTTTTCATACAAACCTTTATTTTTCGTTCATTAAATAGATCAAATTTAAAATGCTGACGCTGCAAGGTGCATATCCTACTCCTAATACTAGTCAAGTAGGATTTACGTCTTTAGATTGTTAAAACTGCTTACTCAAAGATTAAAGTGAAACTATTTCACAATAAATTACATTCAGCTAAAAAGTTGAGATTCATCCAAATAGCATCACACCAAATGTGGAAAATTACATAGATCCCTGCTCAAAGTTCAGCAATTACAAAAATTAAATCCCTATAAATACCATCAGTTTCCAGCCAGTTGACACATAATCATTTTCTAAGAAGCACTCTCTAATTTCAATTCCAAAAATCATGGCTGGACGTGGAAGGAAAACTCCCGCATCATTAAGTAAGTTCCTTGATTCAAAATAAGTCTGGAAATTAATACTTAAAACATATATTTTTTTTAATTTCAGCTTCTGCTGGTGCACCTGCCGGGAAGAAAATGAATTTGGGAGGCAGTCCTGGGAATGATAACATAAGTAAGCAAATTTTATTTAAATTAAATGTTTCTGCCGATCCTGACTAAAACCTTATTCTCAAAATCTTTACTTATTTGGTTATTTATTTTTTCAGATTACGAGATGCTAAAGACCCTCCTGTCGTCTCCACCTGAGACCCGGCAAGGTCTAATGGACGTGCTGTTTCCCCCAGCCCCGCCACCCGTCCCCCCTCCACAAGAAGAGTCTCTGGAAACTTTGCTGTCGCGGTTGAGGTCGCAAACCGCACCACAGGACGATCAAACCGACTCCACCTTTGACAACACTGCTACCAATCAAGAAGAAGGAGCTTCAACATCATCAGCATTGCAGGTACTTAACTTACTCTCTAACTTGAAGGAGAGTGAATTTGGTGAGTTAATTTTCGATAAAGAAGGGTGCAAGATATGGTTCACTCCAATGGGAACCAACATGCGATATACTATCAATAAAGAGCTGCAGATTGATGCAAACGTATTTAACTCGGAGATCTATCTCCATTCCAAGAGAAAGTTTCCGAAAGCTGGGGGAAGGGTTAGCGATGCCGTTTCAATACGGGCTAACCTTCTCCCGGCATTTGAATTTATAGTAGGACACGCATCAGAAAAATTGCAACCTTCTTTGTTAGGAAAAAACATAACTCCAGCTATGTTAGCTTTAGCTCAAAAATTAATTCAAAAATAAACTGGGCTACATTTCTAATACCTTACATAGTAGTACATAACTTATAGTTGTTATTATTATGATGGTAAATAAAATAGAGAAAATAAAGACATTTAATGAGAAAAAACCTTTCGTTTCCAGGTTTTCAATTCGCCTTTTATGCTTACTGATGAAGCCTTTGATGGTCAATATATGGAATTCATCATCCCAGCACCATCCATTAGAAGCAAGTACGATTTCGACCTATGTATACTTACTCACTATCAGCATATTTATAACATCATAAAATTTGCACTAGAGAATTGCGAGGGAATGAAATTTAAGTTACACATCAACGTCAAATTTGTCAAAGTAGTGGGAAAGGATATCATTGAAAAAAATTGGCATATTTCGACTCAGACTTTCATACAATATTTTAAACTGCTGGCTTAGGTGAGAATATTTGGGAATGCATAAATACTATATCAGACAAAATAATCCGGTATACTTTAAATGGCTCAGGATACATATTGCAAAAAGTAAATCTCATAAAAATAACAGTTACTAGATTTTCACCCAACATAAAATATTTGGGAGGATCTTTCATACCACTTCCAGATTACTTAGTTAGGAAAAATGGTTTGATAAATATTAGAAATTCAGACCATCTTTGTTTTATTTGGTGTGTCCTTCTAGGATTACACATAAAATTAACCGGTGATGAGAAAGGCACACATTTACGAAATCCTGCAACATTTCATAAATATTTGAAATATTTCAATTTCTCAAATATCCATTTTCCTGTGGATGTAGTAGAAATTCCAATATTTGAAAAAAATAACCAGGCTTCAATTAATGTGTTTAGATTCACCAAAGATAGGTCTATTATTCCTGAATATATAACTCCTACTTTGAGATCGTTTCATGTCAATCTTTTATTAATCTCCCAAAATGATGATCGTAAACAACATTATGTATTCATTAATAATCTTTCAAATCTGTTAGGAAAAATGGGTTCCAAAGCAAAGTTTTCGATGTTTAAAAGGATTTTCTGACGATGATGCAAGATTATCACATCAGGTAAAATGTGGGAAGGGAAAATTTTGTGGTCAAACTGTGCTACCCACAGACGGAGAATGCTTAACATTTAGAAACCATTATGCTTTAATGAAATTACCCTTTGTTATATATGCTGACTTGGAGTGTTTTACGAAAGCTGCTCCAGTTTCGGAAATAGGAAATCCTATGTCACGAACTGAATTATACCAAGTACATGAGCCTCATAGCTATGGGGTTCTTGTACTTGATTTTCAGAAAAAAATCATTCATCAAAAAAATTTTAGAGGAGAAGGCGCAATCACGAATTTCATAAATCATTTGTATGAATTATATGAAATTCTTGATGTTCTAATGCGCATTGATTTACCTATGTCTTTTACGGAAGATGATAGGAAAAATTTCGAGTCAGCAACACACTGCTGGCTTTGTGAAGAGCCTTTTGTGTCAGAAAGCAGAGAATATATTACAAGACTCAGTAGTCCCTTAGTGAAAGATTTATTAAAGTGTCGCCATCATAGTCACTTAGATTCAAAGTATGTTGGTGCTTGTCATTCTCTATGTAATCTCCAATTAAAATACAAAAGTAGGGCAATACCAGTAGTCGTTAATAATTTTTCTCGTTATGATTCTCATTTTATTCTTAGTGGAATTGAAAGGGAAATTGATGTCCGCATCATTCCTTCGAATTCCGAGCACTATGTAAGTGTAATATTTGATAACAAAATAAAATTTCTAGATTCCTTCCAGTTTCTTCCCAGTTCTTTAGCAGATTTAATTAAAGAAATACCCCCTACTACTTTCCAAATTGTACCCCAAATTTTTGAAGATGAGTATATTAGTCTTATTTCAAGGAAGGGAATTTTCCCATATGACTATTTAAATCATTATGATAAATTTCTTGAACAAAAACTTCCTTTGCAATCGCAGTTCTATAACTCTTTAACAAAGGAAGCACTATCCGATCAAGATTATTTTAATGCAAAGGAAGTGTGGGAAAAATTCGAAATTAAAAATATGGGTGAATATTCTGATTTATACTTGCTTACTGATATTGTTTTATTGGCAGAAGTATTTGAGACTTTTAGAGAACTTTGTTTAAAACACCATCGCCTGGATCCAGTACATTATTATTCTCTTCCTGGCTTTACTTTCGACGCTTTCCTTCGCATGAATAAAACGCCCATTGAATTAATTAGCGATGAGGAAAAATATGAATTTATTGAGAGAGGCATTAGGGGGGGCATTTCACAAGTTTCAAAGAGATTTGCAGAAGCAAATAATACGATGATCCCTGATACATTTGACCCGACAAAGCCGGTCTCGTATATTATGTATCTAGACTTTGTTAATTTATATGGTTGGGCAGGAACAAATAAAATGCCCTATAGGGAGTTTAGATGGTTAGATGATCAAGAACTTCAACTATTTACAAAGAACGTGCAAAAAATTAGTGCAGATGATGATGATTGGTTTGCAGCAGAAGTCGATATAATTTACCCACCTGCACTTCACAGCAACAATACACATAATGACCTGCCTTTGGCAGTGGACAAGCGAGTTATTTCAGAGGATATGTTATCTGAATTTCAAAAAAATATTCTTTCCAAATTTCCTGAGATCAAACTAAGTAAAACTGAAAAACTGGTACCTTCATTTTTACCAAAAACAAAATATGTTTGTCTTTTAAAGAATTTGCAATTTTATTTGGCTCACGGGTTGGTACTGAAGCGCGTTCATAGGGTCCTAACTGCTAAACAGGCAGCGCTTTTAGAACCCTACATTACCTTCAATTCCACAATGAGGTCATTAGCGTTAACATTATTTGAAATCTCATTTTGGAAGGCTTTAAACAATCAACTGCACGGCAAATCCATACAAAATGTTCGATCACAATTAGATGCTAGGGTTGTCACAACATCGGATCAATTCAAAAAATTGGCTTCAAACCCTGCAGTGTCAAGTGTGAGGCTTTTATCGAGAAATAAAGTAGGTCAGCAGCTGAAGAAAGTTAATAATAATGTAGCTGTGTTTTTATTACGTAAAAACAGGGTTAAGCTTGACAAACCTGTATTCATTGGATTCACTATACTAGAGCTCTCAAAATTACTTGTCTATACATTTCATTATGACTACATGGGTCAAAAGTACGGCATAAATTGTAATTTACTTAATATGGACACGGATGGATTTCTTTATGAGGTTTTTACTAATAATTTTTACAATGACATGCTAGCACAGTTAGATATTTTCGACACTAGTAACTACCCAAAAGATCATTTTCTTTTCTCCTTAAAAAACAAAAAAATCCCTGGAAAATTACAGGATGAGAAAGCTGGATTTTTGATCAAGTCATATGCATCTCCAAAAGCAAAAATGTTATCGTTAGAAGTAGTTGACGGTGTCAACATTGTTGATATACATAAACGAGCTAAGGGTATAAAAAAGAATGTGATTAAACATGATCTTTCGCATGAAAATTTCAAGGAAGTAGTTCTTAATGAGATTCTTACTTATGCCACTATGAATTCATTTAGAAGTATAAATCATCAAATGGGATCTTATTGCATAACAAAAATTGGAATGCATAGTTTCGACGATAAAAGGTACCTTTACTCAAATATTAATTCTTATGCATACGGGAGTTGTTTAATTCCAAACGGGTTAGGGATGCAAAATAATAATAATAATAATAATAAACTACGCGCTCTTGAGAGTGATTACGATGATAATACAGATGACTATGATGAAACTACAGACTATGATAATACAGATAATTACGATGAAACTACAGATTATGATTACACTGATGATTATGATGATGATATGGATACAGAATAATACACTTGTAAATAATTTATGTCAACTGTTATCCATTATGTGTAATAATTTATTAGAATGTTGTCGATGTATTTGAAAAATAAAGCCAAAAATTTTGAAATTAATAAATTGCATTTTATTTTTAAAAATTGAATAAAAATATCACTTTCATTTAATATACTGATTTCATTCACTGCTTTCATTAAATTCATACCATTAATTAAAGATATAAATTACATTAACAAATTTTCGGAAGTCCTAAATTATTATTTATGCTTTCTGCAGTTCCCAGTCGTAAAAACCTCCTAAAATTTCTTCCCCATCTAAAGCTTCTAATATATAGTGATGAGGATTTGTATTCTTAACTTGTTTGATTCTGAATTTTTCTCGCGTCCACTTTTCTTGATATCCTTTCGAGAATATTCCCCTATAGCTTGCCAAGCGACATATGTCATTTGGATAAAATTTGGATGGTGAACTACTTGTAACGAGCCTGGGAAACAAATTATTACGAATTGTACTTTCATTTTCCAAAGTCACATTAGACGGAAATGTTTTAATACTGCGATGGTAGCTTTTATTATAACTTTCCAGAATTTTTGGCAATGCGTCTACGTATCTGTACGTATTATTTTTCGTCCAATATCTGGAAATTTTTTCCATCAGAGTTCTGTTAAAACGTTCACAGACAGAATTTTTGATTTCTGAAAATGTAGAGAAAACATTTATATTTTGTTTTTTAGCCATTTTCTGAAATGCTTCGCCATAGTACTCTTTCCCCATGTCTACTTGTAAATTCTTACATTTTCTTTTGGATTTCAAAATAATTTGTTCGAATGCGTCCGCGACTGTTGTTGATCGTTTATTATGGATAGGAACTGCCCATGCGTACTTACTAAAACAATCTATTATTGTTAAAATCCACTGTTTCTTGTCGTTACTTGCATGATGTTTTCTCAAATCAATCAAGTCACTATGCCATTGCTCATCGATCCCACCACAATAAACTCTTCTTCTGGGTCCATTTTTGCGAACTTGTTTGTGAAGAGCTATAGTTTCAACATCTTCGAGGGAACGTTTTGCAATCACCGCAGGGTACGAAGAATTATTTTTTACAAAACCCGTAACGCCTGAAAAGCTCCCTGGATTTTCTTTCTTGTGATAAAGGTTAATAATTTTATTCTTTAAGTTCATCGTGAACACATAAAATATAATATCTAAAAAAATCGAAATGGGGTTTTCTTAGATGTTCGCTGTATGAGTGACAATTTTTGAATGAGATGTGAGTACTTTCTCAACATTGTTTATTACGATTCACCTAAATTTATTATAAGCTTTGCATATTTGGCTACACAAACTTTTAGCGTCTTCCATACATATATTTTTAGTGGCTAATGATTTTACAATATATTTAACAGTAAAAGTATTTTGTTGTAGGTCACTTCGTGATAGTTTCGTCATCCAGTTTTTATTACAAATTTTTGTTAACAACCAAACAATGCAAAATTCACCACAAGTGTCTGAATCGAATGCTTGATATTGAATTTTATTTGAAATTACTTTGCCTCCATGAAGGTTAGTAAAAGACATAAATTCATTGCCGTAAAATTCTATAGGATAACTAAAGGAACAGAAGAAGAATATTTTTTTATTTTTTCCACCCAGGTAAATAGCAACCCAGTGAGCACCATCCTTATTCGAATTTTCTGTATTCACACATAGTGCAAAGGGGGGTTCCACTTTGTAGTTACATAGCTGGTCCTTTGCTAAAACATCGTAACTTATATTTTTATTACCCTTGATTGAAAGTAACTTACAGAAAATTTCTAGGGTATTCATTTTAAAAGTTGACTCGTACCTGCCTTTCTTTATTTATCTCTAACATTGAATTAAATTCTGAATACACAATTACACTATTTGCTTTAGGGAGAGGATTTTTAAATTGAATATCGTATATTTCCTGTTCTGTGAATTGAGAACACATCATCCTCAACAGCAGGGCACAAATTAAACGCGAATAAAGCTTTGGAACTTGTAATATAGTCTTCCCGATTTAACCCTATGCCAAGGTCCTGATGTGCTACACCACTAGAGGTTAACAAGGTATAGAACCCCAACAGAGATTGATTGCTGTCAAAATCTAATTTAAGTGGTTTAAAACAAATTTGTTCGTCGTCTACAAGAACAGAAAAGTAAGAAACGTCAAAGTTGTCAAACGCAAAGGGATTAAGGGTAGAACTACCGATTACAGCAGCATTATCAACAAAATCAACAACGATTCTGACAGGAACATGTCCGTAAAACAGATTTTCTTTTGAAATACTTTTACTTCCAGTTGACACTAAGAATGTCTTCATTTCAACTCGGCGAAAGCTATATTTTGCTGAGTGATTTTGAGACAACAATTTTTCGTGCGCTACTCTTAACCATGGGTATAGCTGGTGACTTATAATGAACAATGACGCTGAGTGAATCTTAATTTTATATTTTTTAGCACTTGTGGATGGTTTAAGTAAACAAAATTCATGGGAATTTCTTGTGAATTTCAACTTAATACAAGTTCCGTTGAGTAAGTATTTTGGAAGATGAAAAATATCTGCACACGGTTTAGATATCAGTTCTAACATCTTGCTCCCTTTAACTGCTTCGTACCGTTGTTTATAGCCGTCATCTATTTTTGTTTGAAACTCATGTGGATGTTTTTCTTGTGTATATAGAGATAAACCCCCTTGGCAGGTTTTGTATTCACTTCCATAATTTAACATAGCCTCCATAATACCCCTGTATCCATACAAATTGTTTGTTTGAGATACCATGACATCATTGATAAAGCAATCACATTGTGAAAACAGAGAATGTCCAATATTGTTGACAGGTGCCACCAGGTGGTCAGGTTCCTTGTATGCTTTTAGTTGAATGGTTTTAGCAGTTTCATCATAATAATACTCCGGTGGGGGAATTACTTCATTTGGAAGATTAGAATTGTCATCATTTACTACTTGACAAACAATATACATGAAGGACTTTTGAAAATCACGATAAAAGTTGGAAGATTCTGGGATTACAAATTCAATTTGACTCGAATTTTCTTGAACGTTTGTGGTAGGAGTATATTCTACGTATAAACTTTTTTCAATACTGGCATCAGTAGGTAATACTTGAAAAAAGTCTACCTCTGACCTAATAACAGGAGAAGAGTTTTCGAAAATTGCTGCCATTATTCAAAATATTGGTCGAAATCCAAAATCTGTTAATTTGGTTTGCTTAAAACCTTTCTGATTCCCCCTTTTAGTTTCCTTGGTCTTTTTTGATGTCTTTCCTGATTTTGACTTAGTTATATCAATTTTACAACAACGTTTGGATGGTTTTAATTCAGGACGTTTTTCAAAAACTTTGATCCTCTTCCTTTTTCTAGATGTGATACCTCGACCAGTCTGTTTGAAAGTGTTTTGAATCAACGATTTACCAGCTTCTTTAATAGCCATCTTCGCATTTCTTTTGATAGCAGTTTTGACTGGTCAACCTTGTTTGACATCGGATATTATATTTTGTTTGATAGCTTACCAAACAAAAATCGATATAATCGAAGGACACAAACAAAATAAAATCTTCTTGGTCACGGGCATAGTAATTTATTATTAATCACCAAGATATACTGCGTTTTAGAATAGAAGCCCGTGGAAGCAAAACCAGAACAAAATTGAAACGAGTTGAATATATAATTGTTTTGCTTGTTTTCATAAAAGGATGACATAAATTCAGGCTAGCAACTAAAGGCAAGAACTTATATGTATTATTCAAAACACTTAATCCGATTATGGGCTTAGTAAGTAAGTATCAACTGCGAGAATATTATTATTAAGGATTTTTATTATTTATTATATGTATACGGCTTTCCTACACGATCTTAATATTTAAAATACCCGGATTACTAATTAGTACTACATGTCTTTCCGACTTGCAAAATTGGTCGTGGATATTTTTCTTGGGGTAAATACCTGGCAAAAATTACTAGCTATACATCTATGTACCCCTCTCCAAGACATTGACATTTGAAAATTTCGTAAAGAAAAGTTCAACCGATTGTGAACAAAATCGGGCACAGATAGATCATTGTTTTGCTATGCAGACACCGGATGTGCTCCGGCTAAGGAAAATTTTTATTTTTACGTTTTATAAGACAAAGTATGCCAAGAAATTCACTTTTACACGCATTTATATTTATTGTATTGTTTCTTTTATGATAGTGCTGCTTTATTTGAAGTGGACATCAAGTAAAAGAGCAGAGGGTGGTATTACACTCATAAACAACACCTTAGTTTTTAAACCCATGGTTATATTCAATCTTCAATCTACAAATTATTTGTCGCAAGTTTTATACATAGATTTTTTCGAAGCTTTTCGCCAAGGTGTGCACTCTGCAGTGACTTGGAAACAGCAAAGAACCCATAAAAAGCATTGGGAATTTTTCTGACAAGATGTACATCCTCTGTTAAAGTCACGTTTTACTTGGTGCTGGGAAAATACTTCCAGGTAGCAAGATTTGCACGAGTATATTACAGGATTACCGTGAGACGTTTTAACATAATTGTAGCGACCCCTGTTAATTGATTAATCTTGCGATCTCTGCAAGATTTGTGCAAAATGTGTTAACTACGTGATTGTTGTTAACAATTTCTGTATCTGGTGGGTGTTCAGATTCTGTACAAAACTTACTGCTCAAGTGGAACACTTGGAGATCTTCTCCGTCGTATGTCGGCCCATGTGCTTTACCAAGTCGGAAACAGAGAAAAACTTCTTGCCACAGAAATAACAGTCGCACTTCTTCTCGCCAATATGGACTCGTTTCACGTGAGTGGTGAGACTCTGATTAGCAGACGTTGTGTAGTTGCAAAATTCGCACGAGTATTTGTCCTTAGGATTAATGTGAAAATTGTTTGTGTGACGCTGGCGGCCTATCTTGGTTAGGAAAGTTCGCGGACATAATTTACACGTGTACACCGTACGAACTGCGTTGTCCTGGTGCGAGGTCTGTAACGGTGTGACAAAATTGGTCAAATTAACGAAACTGACTAAAGCATCTGTTTACATAATTAATTTAATTTAATTTGTTAATTAAAAATAAATAATTTAATTTTGAATTAATTAATTAATTTGCTTACCTCGTGCCGCTTTAGATTTTGAGCCTGTCCAAAACCTTTTCCGCAGATTGTACACTTGTAGGATTTCTCCCTCGTGTGAGTGTCAATGTGACGAGTGAGGTCTTTCATAGATTTAAATTCCTTCTGACATAGTGTGCACAAGTATCGGATGGGATTCTCGGCGTGTTCCGAATTAAAATGCTTCGTGACGCCACCCTTGTGGACAAATGTTTTCTCGCAGCCCAAAAATGTACAGGGAATCCTCTCTCGTTCTGTTGTGGAATGAACAAATTTCATATGTTGGGATAGATAACTAGCTAACCGAAATTCTCGGCCGCACAGAGTGCATGATAGACTTTTTTGGTTTCCATGTAAGCTCGATAAATGTCTCGGGAGTAAGATTCGATTTTTTATTATTTTTCCGCAAATCTGTACGCAAATATTGTAACATTTTCAATTATTCTGAGGTGTGTTTGGACAGAGTTGCGTAATTAAAGAATCATTTTGGTAAAACCTACCTCGCATTTTGCTGGATTATCTGGTTCATGAGAGATGAGATGAAACCTTAAATTTCGATTGCTTTTAAGTCTCTTTGAGCAGTGAGGACACTCCCAGATTTTTTGACGACTTGGCTTGGCTTGGATTATATGTGTTTATTTTGTTTAATATTTAAAAAATCTCTATAAATAAATACTCCGCGTATGTAATGTCATTTAAGTCCGGGCAAAGTTATCACTGAGACATTTTTTTGTTTGAAAGGCAACATTCACGTTATTTTAAAACACAAGAGCACTCGGGCAAAGTGAAGTTGTATGTAAATGCAACTGTGTAGTTCACCCTTAAAGCTGTCTAGTTTTAAGGACCATTTGTCTATGGTGTTGTGTGAACGGCTAACTGATTGGTTTCCTCAAGATTTAAACTGATTTGTCAGTATAAGTCAACGTAGCCAAACCTTTCTAAAAATTACTTCTTGGATTACTTCCTTCTTACGAATTTAAGGTTTGTTCCATGTTATCTACTTATAAAAAGGTTCAAACACTAAAATAGAAAAAGTCAAAAGTTATACCTACATACATTAGTGCTTGTGACATACATATACACGCACATATGTAAATTTAAATAAATACTCACGTTTTTTAGGTATGCCTTAGGATATTTAAGTATATGTTGCGCTTAATATTCCATAAATCCAACAATATTTTCAAGGCAAAATAGCTTTTCTTCAGCAAACCCAATTCTTAACATCGATCTAACCCTACATGTATGTATTAATGTATTTTTATACTTGATATTCCCCATAAGTATTAACATTACTAGATAGATTTCCTATGTATCCAGCCTGGGTCAGCATTATTGATTACCTGGTATTCATTTATGACGGACTTCTGTACAAAACCTAATCCACAGGAGGCACACTGGAAGGCCTTCTCTGTGCTTTACGTAGTCTGACAGAGAGAAGAATTTCTGCTCACCAATATTTACCTTTTCATGTGACGGCTTACATTGGGTTTCCAAGATGTTGTGAAGTGGCACAACTTGTACGAATATTTCTGTATGGGATTAAGATGAATTGTTTTTACTTGGAGCCCCCGGCCCTTTATGGTTTGGAAGTAAGGTTTTGGGTGGATTAATTAGTTACATTAAATGGCTGGTATTAAATGAAATTAAATGGTTGTTACCACCAGGCCTAAAGTGGGATTATGACACTAATGACATCAAATGGTATAAATTGGTTTTGCGAAAATTTTAACTTTTTAATTTATAACTTTCATATCTTGAACTCACCGACATACGTCACCTCCATGGTTTGATGCATTTTAATTTTGCATGTTTTAGATAGTAAATGTTCAAAAACATGATTATTTTTGAAATGTCATGTTGTGTATATCAAAATTTTCAGAAAATTGAATAGTCAACTACAATAAGTGTATAATTATTAGATTCAACAAACATAATTGCGGAGTCCACATTGCAGTCAAAATTTTTTATAATTGGATTATTTTTCTCATATAAATTCACATCAGAACGAAATAAAAAATACAATAAATTCTATTAGAAATGCACATCAAAATGAGGCCAATTTTACTGCACAGATCCAAGAGGATTGGGAATAGAGCAGATTCTATCTAGGCCCTATAAGTAAAATTTGTTTAAGTTATACGTCATCCGCCAATATAGTGCCACTAGGCTCTACATTTTTCCCAAATAACTTATAAATATGTACATAGGCTAACACATATTTTCTGTGAATGTGAAAGTAATACAACAATCCATATTGTGGTTGGATGGAATAAGGTCGAGCACCTTTTCTCTTCCATAGAAGGGTTCACTCAAAATTCTACATTTTGACTGAAAGGCATCTGACTTCGGAAGACCTCACTTCCCAGACCGCAAAGAATATGACAACTTGTCACGTAAAGTTTTTTTTGGGTAAATTTAAATAGCTGCACCAAAAAAAGAAGACCTCTCAGTAAAGTTCCGTTGACCCTGAGTGGATGTCGTGTAAATAATATTTACCACGTATTAAAACTAAAGCCAATGAGGTATGATATTCATAATTTCAAGAATTCTCAAAGATTTCTTGAAACTTTCCTATTTTAAATCAGCTAAATAATTAAAACTCCTAGTCATATAATGGAACATGCCCGTCCCAACATCCCTCAGTGTCCCCACTGCTCGAAAAGTTTCAAAAAAGTGATGTATCTAAATGTTCACCTCATCACTCATGACAAGAACGCGCTAGTTAATTGCAAGGTATGTCGTAAAATAATTTTCTCCATTCAGACTCAAAACAAATACCGCGTACAAATTACACTCCTCGAAATGTTGAGTAATAAAGACGATGACACAACTATGGTCTGTTTTATTTTTTTGATTGAACCCTTCTCAATAAGCTGTGCATACAATAATGGGTCTAATTTTTAAAATAGACGGTAGTTCCGTAAAGTTGATCTAGCCCAACTTGTTCTGTTACCCATTGTCCTGAGTAATTTTAGGACAATTAAGTATTAAAAGAATGTTATCATTTTGCAGATATGCGGGAAAAATTTGAAAAATCGCGCCGTTCTTTATCGTCATATGAAATTCACACATAGTAATAAAGCTAAACCTAAATGCAAAATCTGTTCTGTTGAGTTCGGCAGACCGGACACTTTGCGTAGTCACATGGCAAACGTTCACGGCAATGAGGCAAGACAACGACACAATTGCACAGTCCTGGGCTGTGAAAAATCCTATGTTAGCAGAAGAAACGTTTTGCGGCATATGAAACGGATTCACAACCCGAGTGGACGACCCAAACACCCTTGCAGTGTTGTAGGATGTGGAAAAACATTTCTTTACAATCATGGACTCTCAAGACATTTTGGAACAGAGCATGCCGAGAATCCTGTCCGATTTTGTTGCACCCTTTGCGGAAAGGAATGTACAACAAATCCAAGCCTAGAGACTCACATAGCTACCCATACAGGAGAAAAAAGCTACAAGTGTCACACCTGCGGGAAGAGCTTTGTAACTCAAGCTAGATTAAAATCACATCAGGTGCGTGCATTGAAATCCAAAAGAGTTTCTTTTTGTATGTAATTAATATAAATACCTAGGTACATATATAAATATCTACATAATTTTCACTAAACGGTTTATTTTTTAAAAATTCAGGAAGTTCACAAGGAGAAATCCATAAGAAAAGTTTACAAGTGCAAATTATGTCCTAGCAACAGGACATAATTAGAAAGTCTTGGTCAGGACTTTCCTGACCAAGACTGGAGTCTCCATGCACGTTAGGACCATCCATGGCGACGGGGATAATTATCCGTGTACCCATTGCAACAACAAGTCCAACAGTTTGTCCGGTTTGAAGTATCACATTCTGACGAAACACAGGACAGAGGACATGCCAAGTTATTCGTGTGAGGAATGCGAGTACAAAACAGTGGTAAAAACAAGACTTACAGAGCATGTCAAGCGCGTGCATGAAGGTGAGAAGAGGAGAGAATGCTATTTTTGTGGAAAGATGTTTTTTGCCTTTGCAAATTTAGTTCGTCACTGTTCCAATGTTCATACATTAGAAAAATAGTTTAATTTTCTGTACAATTTTACAAAGGAAGAGATACCAACGGTTTCAAAGTGCCACAATAAAATAATGCAAAAATTCCAACAGTCATAAAAAAGGACTTAACCAATGTTAATGGTAATGGGAAAATTGCGCTTTTAGATTAAGTTATTTTGCAAAAGCTTGATTTTGCACAAATCACAACTCATCAAAATCACGATTTAATCAAAAAGTTTGATTCAAAACATATACGTATAGTGCATAACGTACTTTGAAAGACAAATCTTTATCTGCATGAGACTGAAACTGTGAAGAAGGAAATCGTGTCTATCGTTCAGTATATTAATAAATTCTACGTTTCGTGGTCTTTAAAAAATGGTTTTTTTGTTGATATTACACAATCTTCCACTGTGGCTAACTCGTCATCCTCTCACCCTTCTAAACCGTTTACTGTGAATGGATTAAACATTCGGAAGACTTTTTACTTGGAAACGTGATAAAGTAAACTTCAATTGTACGGTGTTTTTAAGTTTGTTACCCCATACTCTGAAAATAATCATAGGTTTGATTTTCTTGCTTTATCATCTTAATGTTGTATGTTTATGATCTTACAACCATGGCATCCGATTTAGGCACCCCCATAAGTAATACAAACACCCCCTAATATATAAAATTCAAGCCATCATTGCTTTCGCCACAAAAAGTATTTTTAGACCCCTTAATAATGGATATTGTCCACTTAAAATAATCCCACAATTATTTCATTTTATAGCTATGTATGGCATAAATTTGAATATTATAATCAATTATGACACTCATTATTGTGTTATTTTTTCATATTCATAATAAGGCGAAAGCAATGATGGTTTGAATTGTATATATTAGGGGGTGTTTTGTATTACTTTTTGAGGTGGAAAAATTATTTTCCTACAACCATCAGTTTAAATGATTTGTTACTTTAAGTCTTCAAACTAATTGGAAATTTTTTCAGCAATTTACTTTCTCACATGTCATGTATTGGAAGCAATAAATGCCTCTTTAGAATTACTACGACGATATGTTGAGTGATTATTCTGTAGTTAGTAACTTGTAAATTGTAAACTGGAATCACAATTCTCCAACTGGGTTTTTACAATTTTATACCATCTTACCATATTTCACTTATGTAGGTGGTAAATACCGGTAAATACCTGTATTTTCTGTGCATATACACCACTTGGTAATCCACGGTACATCTAAAACCGTCATTTCCTCAAATTCGTAAATGAATGTCCTACCATATATTTATCCTTTGTTGCATATTGCCAATATTTCTCCAGCCCTATATAAGTATCTACACATTTACGTAGGTACATATGTACTATTTACATATAAGGAGCTCTTGCACACATTTGTGTACCCAGCCAGTCTTGCTCACCCCACTTTCTCCCGTCTATCTATGTATGTAAAGGGTGTTAATAAAGTCCGATCCCATGCATTTTTTGGAGCGTGGTTGTTACAAATTCAGCTGGAACTTTTGAACCAGTGAAGTTATTTATTTCAAATTTTTACCATGGGAGGAACAACTAAACGTGTAAGTCATGAGCATCTTAGAGTTGAGATACAAACATTGCATCAGCAGGGGCTTAAACCTACAGAAATTGTGCAAAAATTGGGCTGCAGCCGCAGAACTGTTTGGAAATGGAAGAATAAAAATTTTGTCCACGACAAAAAGCGACCAGGGCGACCCAGAAAGGTGTTACCTACCACAAAAAGAATGATTAAAAACAGACTTTGCAAGAAAACCGGTAGTTCATTACGTAATTGAGCAAGGGAGTTAAATGACTCAAAACGCTATAAAGAGAAGAAGAAGCAAATTAACTGTGTGACCGTGCAAAAATTTGTGAAAACTACGAAGTGGGGTCACACAGCTTACAAACTAACCAAAAAAACCTCTCATGTCACAAAAATATATCGATGACCGTCTGAAATTTGAAGAACTCCTTCAGAAAAGTGCCCATTTGAGTGAAAAAAGACTTGGTGAAGAATTGCGCAGTCACATCCTTTGGACTGACGAATCTATTATTGAACTATATCCAAAATTGAACCAACAAAATGTTCGTTACAGGACAGAAAACAAATCGGATGTACCATCAAGAGCGATCCCAAAATTCGGGCTTAAAGTTATGGTAGCGGGTGGATTTTGTGCACGTTGCGTGACCCCTCTACATATCATACCAAAAGGCCAATCAGTCAATGCAAAGCATTATATGGAAAAAATATTACCTATCTATTTCGATAGCATGGGGAACAAGGAAATATTTCCGAATGAAAGAAAAATAGTTTTCATGCAGGATGGTGCTATAGCCCATACAGCAAAAGCGAGTTTGAGTCTCATCAAGACGCAAGTTTCAACGGTCTGGAGCAAGGGGGTGTGGGCCGCTAACGGCCCAGATTTGAATCCCCTGAAGAACCAGTGGTCCATACTTAAGGAAAATGTATACAAAGAGCCACAACCCCGGACGAGGGAAGAGCTAGTAAAAAAAAGTTCAAGATGTATGGAATTCGATTTCCAGAGGCACATTGGAAAAATTAGCACAGAGCCTTAAACAAAGAGTTGAGGGCATGGTTAAAGTAAATGGTAACAAGACCAAATACTAAGGTAAATATGTCGAACATTTTTTGTAAGTATCACGGGTAGTTTTTTTTTATACTAGCCTTCACTTTTTTACAGGAAAAATGGGATCGGACTTTATTAACACCCTGTAGTTCCCGACTCGGAAACAAAAAGATCAATACACACGCTGCACAGATGTTATTCCTTCCGCACTGACAGAAACAAAATTTTGGTCTACATAAACCAGTAAACAATTTAAGACTGAAACAGTACAAATTTCAATGCCCCCGGACGACTGCACTTGTGACGCTAAAGTGAGTGAGTTTAAGCTACATAAACTTATGTATTTTTCTGGCTCAGATTTACTACTTCTGAAGCTCCATTTCCACACAACTAATACACAACCTGCCCGACACACATAATTATTTACAATGTTGACAAACCTTTGAGAAAATATTAGTAATACCCTATTCACATTTGGTGTACAGGGATGCCTGTCCTTGATGATCTTGGTCCACATGATTAACACCTTGTTTGTCTCGTCAAAATGTCGAGGTAAGATTCTCTTTTGGGTGTTTTGAACTATTAGATACGTGAACCAACTAAATTTTGATTCATAATAATTTCAAACAATATAAATTTATCTATTCTTTTAAATTGAACTAATTTTATTTCTAACTTGACAGAAAATGGGGGAAGTTGCTCAGGCTTTTGGAATACTCCTGACAAGGATAGAGGGACCAGGTTCGCAGACGTCGTAATCTTGCCCCCACTCATAATTTACATAGCTGCCGGGATAACAGTATTAGCGATATTTTTGAATTTCGTCGGAAAGGTGAGTGGAGTCGTATTCGCCAACATTGGCATTGGTATGGTTATCAGGATTTGGTCCAATTTCTATAAGAATTTAACAAGTTAGAGTAAAATTTTGAAATCAAATATCTAACAAGGGAATATACCCATGTGTCAAAAGAGTTAAGGGTCGATAACTATACCAAAATAACCGTAAGGTATAGCTTCTTCGATGAAGTGAATAAATTTTTTTGAGTCATATTCGCTTTTCGTCAAGTTGTGACGACTTCTGTTTACAGGGGTGGACCCCACCTCGGCTCGTCTCCACACAAATGCACTTGAAAATTTTCTGGGTCAAAATATTATTTTCACCAATTTAAGGATATGAAATAGTTTTGCAAATAACTTACAACATTTTTTACAAATTTGTCAGAATTTGCAAAAATTGCAAAGTTTTCAGAGAACTATGAAAATAAGTGTTATCGTCCAGCATGTTTTGGATTATTTTGTGAGGAGGATGAGTGAAACTAGAGTTCAGTGCCGTAAACTCTATGGATTCCATCGTCACGTACATACATACGTATGTATCGCTCAAAATTGATGATGCATTTGTAACTCTTTCACAAATTCAGATATGTACAATTTTGTCATTGCTACAATAAAGATTTTGAATGGCTGAACAATACCTCGAAAGGCTAAATTTTTGAATTGTATGGCAAAGACGATAAACGATATTTAAACCTTTTAAATCAAGCTATGCTGTAATTGTCAAATTGAGAATGTCAATACGAATTTCATTAGCAACACTTGTACATAAATGGTTACTCTTAATTTGTCAATGTTTTATGCACAGATTTCACTACGCACGGTCCTCTGTCTCTCTTGCGCCACACTGGTTATCTCCCTGATATTTTTCAACGGTCATTTTTCATCAAACCGACCACCATTACACCACGTGCTGGATTGCTCTACATATTTTGGGATTTCACACTGTTCGGATTTGCCGTCTACAATACGTGCCTACTACAAGCCATTACTGGACACCCCATCGTTCCGCCGGAGCAAGAGAACCAGATTGATCGCAGTGTTCAAAATGCCAACAGCTTAAGAACACCTGGTTCGTCGGGTCAGCCACAGGCTTCGCTTCGCCGGGGTGTTTACCCGACACGATATCCTCGCCAACCACAACGAGCAACTCGTACACCCAGGACTGATCCAAGACCTTGTGCCCCATCACAGAGGTTTCTTGCACCAAGGCCCGGCCCGTCGCAAATTCTTCAGAGGTCAACCGCACCTCCGCCACCTCTAGATATGGAATGTCCACCGGGCCACGTGTACCTTAGGTGTGAGGAAATTGCAAATATATCAATTTCTGGAGTTCGCCAGACCAGTCGAACACTCACTTCGGTCGTACCAAGGGATGAGTATAGCCCTGGATAGATTATCGTGCTGCGTGTAGTCGAGGTGAACTTAAGTAACACGGGTCCAGAACAATCCCTCGGAAATCCCACAAGCCGTAGTGTAAGTGAGCTGGATGTGGAATTGAATACGCTTCCAACATATGCGGAAGCAACCTCATCTGCCGACAGGGACTCGCAAGTCTAAATGTTATTTATTTAACAATTGCATAAGCCCGAATAGATAGATTGGTGAGGGTGTGCGGATAAGGCAAAGGTTATAGTCCAGTACATGTGATGATTAATATCATTCCTAATGTTTAAGGGATTATCACAATAAGTATTTTTTTATAAAAAGTGTAATACTCAAACTGTCCAATTTTTCCTGAAAGAGAGTAAAAGGCTTAAATGAGAAAACTGCGATCCACACAATACTTTTTACCGGCCCAGATAACATTTTGAAAATTCGAGGTAAACTCGAGGAGAGTTCTCTACGAATTCATAGCGAAATGTCCGCCGATTCGTTAGCGAGTCGACGTCGAAGTCATAGAGAAGACCGAATTCGCTGAGATTTCGTTACGATTTCGGTCTTCGCTATTTCATGAATGAAATGAATATGAATTCATATGAATTCGTGAATTCGTAGAGAACTCTCCTCGAGTTTACCTCGAATTTTCAAAATGTTATCTGGGCTGGAAGACTTTTTACCGAATTTATGGGTGCACTTGGTTCATATTCCAGCCCTCCAGCATAGCTGACCATCGTCCATAATATGTAGACCATTATTTTTGCCGATTTACCGCGGACAATTTTTTTATTTCTTCCCATTTGCTTTCATGCTGCATGGAAGTATATGTGTAAGGTATAGTATGTAATCACCACAACCAATGTTAATTTTAAGAGGGTCGTGTGGGGTGGCCTTACGACATAGGAGGATTCGGTAAAAAGCATTAGGAGCCCCTTCCAATTATAGCGATAGGGTACGCACACGGTTTTTCGAAATTTTGTTCGTGTCGTGACCTATTGACCTTTAAATATGATGGGGTCGTCGATTCACTAAATGTTTTTTTCAAATGAACTGGGTGTGAGATATTAAAAACCCGTTACTTCTATGATATCACCAGGTTACGGGGTTACAACATTATCTTGAAACATTTTTTTGAAATAAGGCTTTCCTGAGGCGCGAAAATTCAAAATGTCGTATTTGACGTCACTTCATTCTATATGGAGGAAGTATGTTAAAGAATCAATTTTTGGGGTATCTCTCATTTGAATCGTATTCCTGAGGGTCATGTGGAGTGCCCTCTTCAGGACCATATTTTCGAAATTCGCACACCCCGAAAAGTTATCTTTGATTTTCTGAAAATCTTTAGTTCTTTAAAAATACATTATAGGAATTTCTCAATATACCCTCAGTGGGTGGGAACCATTACGACCACAAACAAATTTGCATATATTTTCTCATCTCTAACATATTTAGCGTGATGCTATCTCCTACCTCTGGAAGAAATAGATGATTTTCGGCAGTTTTACTGCATAACTTGTATTGCTAGCTATGTCAAGTCAAGTCAAGTAATCCTTTATTAAACTGTCAACAATTATCAGTTAATATAAGCTGGTTTCCAAAGCTATGCCCATAAGATGTAAATATTTCACCCACCAAGCGATCCAACCGGACAATACGAAATGCTAGGTCTCAAAATTTAAATAAATATGGTTTAACAATTTGTAATCTCTCAAAAATATAATCAAGTTTACTATGTATCACGTGGTTAGAAATTAAGCAACTTTATTCAACCATTAACCAGTTAAACAAAGTAAATAAACACGGTATTCCAGGAGTTCATACAATGCATTTTTTAAATGATTTTACATGTCTTACATCTTTCGTATAATTGATTACGCACTCCTATATAGATAAGTATTCATATCCAATAATATATATCAAGTAATACATACTTACATAAAGTTGTAAAAAACTCTGAAAATCATTAAACATATTACTCCAAGAGTAATTTTCTCAACTGCTTAACCACTGAATCCCTGGCGTTTGGAAAAATCTTAAACAACCTCGTGTAAACGCTGGCTTGCTCAAAGTCGAAATCACTTTCTGTATAAATCTTGATGTCGACGTCTTTCACCCAGTCCACGACTATATCCCCCGACGGAAAAAAACAAGCCACTTCGGCAACGTCATGCTGTTCGGTGGAAACATGCAAAGTTTCCAAAACAGGGAAACAAGTTTCGTAGTCAATCTCACCAAAGTATCCCAGGCTGTTTTCGAACTCAATGTTTCTGAAGAAATTTGAGCTACAAAGCTTGAACGTTTTCATGGCAGAGAACATCGGGAATTTCCAGTCTAACCCGTCCGTATCTTCGGAAGGGGAAAGTTCCCAGTAAATGTCCATGCAAAGCTCTTCAAGAGTTTGGGAGTGTTTTTTGAGCAATTTGTAAAACATGGTGGGCAGCTCGACCATCTCCGTGCCGATCTCTTCGAGGTGAACCTCATCAAAAATGAGGCGTTTCAACCGTCCGGGTAGTTCAAACAGACATTCGAGGCCAAATAAGTTAGATGGCCCGTCTAACGTGATGGAACTTAGGGACCTAAAAAATAAACATTGTAATTAATCAAGGCAACCTAATTAATTATCATATTTAGATTAATCAACAATTACAAATTAACTTTAACTAATACCATCGAATCGAATTATATGTACTTACTGTGGCTAGAGATTCATTAAAAAATTTATAATTAATTACATAGATCAAGTTGGGACCTCAGTCTAATTATCAATTACTATTGAATTAACTAATCAATTCATAACTTTGCCTGAATTATCTTACCTTGGAAATTTTGGCAGCAGGCCTAACTCCCAAATCGCATGTAAATTTTCAGCTCCTATCGCCAAGTGTTCCAAATTTGGGAAGGATTGAGTGATAGCGTGTCCTAAATTTTTGATGACTATGGCGTCATCATCATCAGAAAAATAATCGGTCCCAAGGTTCCTTAATTTTGGGAAGACAGCGCTTTCAAATGAAGGGACGTCTGACTCGTTATCCCATTCAAATTTTAATTCTTGCAAACTGCCGGACGAAGCGAGAACGATTTTTCGACAGACTTCTTGCACACCAAGATATCCATGTCGGTCAGCAATGTAGGAGAAATAAATCGATTTAAGGTTCCGAATTGAAGGAAAGGTTGCAGGATCTAGGGTAAATGGCTGATTTGGATGTTCCACTAGGAGATAAAGATTGATTGGAGAAAATTCCAGCTGCTCTTTAATGTCCGCCATATTACCATCGAGTTTCAGGATCGTCTTCGTCCTGGCCTTGAGGACCGGGGTGACAGCGTAATTCCAAGATTTGGAGACTAATCGGAGCTCCCGGAGGTCTTGAGTGGCGACGAACGAGCTGAGGTGGTGAATTACCTGGGAGCAAGATAGAAATGTGGTAAATATGTAATAAGGATACTTGGGAAAATCTGGAAGTAAAAATTTAATAATTTTACGTCCGGAATAAGAACAGATCGCGGGGTGGAGACGTGCTCCGAACAAGTGGAGGGGGCTGAATCCTTTGAAAATTCAGGGGAAATTAAATATTTATTATTCAAGAATTTATTGAGACGGTGAAATGTATCGGTTGGAAGACTAACCTCTTTTGCGGAATCGTTTGGCATGGTGGGAGTAATTAAATAGAGTAAATATCCCCCCAGTTAATTAAACTTTAGTTATGTAGCGAGTTTTATTAATTTGAAAATATTTTGTGTTTTTTTTTGCCGAGATGAGTTGAGTGAGGAAACAGGCGAAAACATCAAGTTTACCGCTAGTTCAGATTGGCCAATCATTTGTCTCGTCTTTATTTCTCACCCTGGCAAGAATTATGGGATGATTATTTATTAAGAATTTTACCCATTGTAGGAAAAATGAGACCATATCCTATTTCATAGGTACGTACATATGTAGATATAAATTTAACATCAATCCTTCTTCAGATCGATTATTCTATTATCGGTCTGGGCTTCCGAATTCTTTGAGCACACTTCACATGTATCTATGTACATACACACTTATGAATCATGTCACCTCAACTATGTACATAATTCGGTGATCTGCCGCATTCATTGTTTTACTTCTTAAAGTAGGCAAGCCCTGATAAGATAATAAAGTTTAGCTGCCCAGTTTAAATATCAGTGTGTCTCAACTCATACTGGGCTATTCTAATATAAATTCACCTCAAAATTAGCACACGCCTGTGGTATCTCTATACACATAGAAATTCAATTAATTCTAACTCAGCGATGACATTTATGTGCTATCCACCAAATGCAAAGATATACAGTTGCCCATTTGTAAGTCATAACCTGACGGATGTAAACGTTTATGAATATTCTTATCTTGGGTATGTATGTTTTGGAAACTGATACGTTACGTTTACAAGTACCACAATATTTTGAGAGGAGTTAAAAAAACTGAGTTTTTTCGATTCGGATAAGATCGGTGTATGAATCTGGTCAGTTTGCATGATAGATGACAGGCAGATTTTAGGCTATTTGTTTCGCTCTATCCCGAACATCTTGCCTGGATTGGATAGACTCAAACCTGCCATCTGCCAGCAATATTTATTTACAAAGCTTTTCTTACAATCTTTAAACCTTTTCCGGAAACTTGACTTAGACAGTAGAAATCATACTTCGTTATAGAGACCCTAGTCCTCTCAAGTGGCCCGGTTTTCGCAATCCACAAGTGCGGACGGGATGAAGTAGTAGATAAAACCCCCTTCAACTTAAGTTGGTCGTCTTAGCATATTGCCAACGTGCTTACTTTTGCACGCGGAGATCCTGGTTCGATTCTCCCTCAAGAATTACTTTTTGCAGCTAAATATATACTTTGATGGCTTATTAATTTGCAATTATTAAATTTTTTGCTCGATTTAGGTGCTCATGGTGTATATGCGTTTTGTGTAATTTTTGTAAAATGCATATGCAAAATTTCAATTGAATATGACCAGTTTTGACCACACTTACAAGCTTGAAGTTTAAACCGGGTGAAGATGTGCTGCATGGACTTCAGACTCGTAAAAGTTCTGATTTAATGCAGATGTTTTTTAATTATGAGAATTTTGCACAATTAATGTACTTCATTAGCTTAGAGCTATGCACCAGTTAAATAATTAGTTGTGCCACGTACCCAAAATATCTATAGCGGGACAGAACACAGGCTGAATCTACAAAAGCAGATGCATCCTGCCTACATTGACTTTTTAATAACGCAACGTTCCACTTAAATATCGTCATTGGCTGGCTAATTAATGGTATGTAGATACATACGTGGATTTACTACCCAGGAAATATAGCATATAGTAAAACATTTAAACAGAAAATACTGTACATAAGAGTACATATATATCTACACTGTAGATTCTACAGGCACATATTATGTAAGGATGTAGTTGCGAATCTTTTATGTAATGTGACTGCGTATGTACCTGTTCAGTATCATTCAAATGTGAGAAAATTATCGGCATAATCACACATATTTAAACTGAAGGTGATTATATATTTAATCAACTTTATTTTTAAGTGAAATTATTTCTTCGCCAGGTACACACATACGTAAATGTATGTAATCTGTCCACAGCATGGTTTGACTTACAAAATAGTTAATCCCCAATTATCAGTAAATTATACAATTGTATTCTTATCAATCACGCATTCCAGCCGTGTGGAGGTGCAGATAATTTAGGTATTTATTTAGTTATCTCACATTCCGCTGCGTAATCAAATAAGTGGGCACGTATGCACTAAAATTACGTAATTCCTATTCTTCTCTCAGCCAAGACACATTCAAGTGTAACAATACGGATTTAAGTCTTCGTCTAAATAAGGTTGCAGCAACATATTTTTATTTGTATGCTTAGAGTAGGAAATTAAATCAAATTTCACCCGCAGTTACAATCTAACTATTTTAACCTTTCATCAGTCATAATACAAATTCAGTTCTTTAAAACCTAAAATCCCAAAAAAAATCTGACAAATAAGTAAGTTCGCGCATACATACATATATAGAGAATGGAATTAACTCCCCATCAAATAAAATAGTAAATCCCTACAATTAAAAGCAAATTTCCCATCAGAGCGAAAGGATGCTTCCCCCATCAAATCGAATTTCTGTGCCTACAAATAAATTATAAATCCCATCAAAAATAATATTTAAAATACCATGAGCTCAAAGTTATAAAATGATAGATGAGAAACTTGTGAGGGGAAATACCGTAGTTCAGGTTTTTTTGACATTCTCATGTGTACTATCAAGTTCCAATACAATATTTTGTTTTCTTTAGAATATTTTACATTTTCAAAATGGCAGAAAATAGGGCCTAAGTTTTAAATTTTTCAAGGACTGACGTAATAGCGAAGTTGAAAGCATTCAATTTCACAGAGAATTTATATGGACTGAGGTTAGCAAGGTCCCTAGAAAGGAGGAAGCAGAAAATAAAATTAAAGGCGAAAATGAATGGGGTTTTAATCGACGATACCAGTCGAAGGAAAATTGTGTATTTGAATGTTTTTGTCGTCAACAATATGAATGCTCCGAAAATACTACGAAAATAGTTAGGAAAATTAGTTAGGAAATGCTACGAAACGTGATTTGTTTCATTTGCGACCGGAAGCCACGGCACTCCTATAAGGTGTCAAACGAAAGAAAGGACATCCTGCGTTGGCAAAGAAAGCTCTAATTGTTCGATGAATGAGCAGAAAAAGAAAGTTGTTGTAAATAAACGCGAATTTAATTCGTTTGCTAAATATATTCGATTTAATGGGATTTATCATTTATTTGTAGGGATAGAAAATTCGATTTGATGGGACAATCATCCTTTTGCCTTGATGGGGGATATGTATTAATTTGTTGGAAGTTTACATTTTATTTGATGGTGCAATAATATTATTCCTATAGAGAATATTGATGTCAAATTTACTACGGCAAATTTTAGTTTTATTCGACTTCCAAATAGGCAGACGCGTACTATTATTTCTTAAAGTTTTTACAAATTGCGCAAAAATTTGCAACGTGACAATGGTTTAAAATATCTAAGGTGTTGTCTGAATAGAAATATGTAAATTCCACCAGGTAAACTAACATAACCTTTCACACATTTGTTTCCATTTCATTTGGAAGTCTCAATTTCAGTATTTGTACCTGCATGAATTCAAAAACTTAAATATCATTTTTGTACCTGATTTGTTGCACTTTCATGGGCCCAAGAGGATATAATAAGGAATAAATGTTGTTTCATTCATTTATATGTCTTCCTTTCTTCAGGAGCTCCACCAACGATGGCCAGCCAGTCCACCCAAGGACCGGGTGACGTTCGTCAGGTCGACATCATTGTCACCGATCTAAGGGACTCCGTTTACCAGGGGAGGCAGGACAGGACACAGATCGATATCGAATTGAGTGGCGTACACATCAAAAATGCTGATCTTGCCGTATCCTTGGCAAATATTAGAAGATCGCTCGGGTCAAAACTATCCGCGCGGGGGTCGAACCCCTTCAAAATCTGCAACACGGATAAGCAACCGATTGAGTCCATGAAAGTTCAAGGACTCCTCAGTCTACGAAATCTGATCCTTTTGGATGAGGGTCAAACTACTTTTCCAATCGTGTACAAGCAGAGCTGCAGTATTGTTCCACACATCAAAGTGGTTACGAGTCAAGAAGGAAAGTTTTACGGATTGGAAGGTATGTGCATGTGCCAGATTTTGAAAATTACATATCCGCTTATGTATTCATCATCTTCGTCCGACCCGCCGCCCGTTTTGATAACCTTAGAACCAGTTAGCCGGTTTTGACAAAATTTGGTAGAAAGATCTTGTATGTATCTTGAAGCTTCTATAGGTGTCACTCCTGCTTGAGAGTTTACTAACTAGCGTAAAGGCAAACTAAGAGACGTGCGATCCTACAAATCACACTTACTACTCATTTTTGATGAAACTCTTTTCTCGACATATGTATGTACAAACATTTTTCGCCCCGAGCAATTATTTGTGTATATAAATTAATCATACAATAGTACATTTCATACATGTATATAATGAGACATGATTAGTATGAGCATTTAGCTAAAGCGGTTGGCAACCTTGACGTCAGACTTGGATAAACAACGCCCAAAGACATAATATGAACATGATTCTGCACTCTATTTAAGATCCTTCATATTTCGAATTTTGAGAAAAGAAAGTCCTAAATAAAAAGAACTAAATAATTAAAAAATAGTGGAATTTGACATACTTACAACTACCTTGACTACCTTGTTAGTCATGTAGGTTTGCATTTTTTTTGGTAAATATCAAATTTTCTACTGGTCTTGGAATTATTTCAGTAGGTAAAAATGTGATGCCGAAATACCTATATGTACCAAGCTACTGCCATTCGGCATTACTTATCAATACCAGTCCACTATAATCAGACCATTAGTCACATATACTAGGTGGCCCACTGAAACTGTAAGTGAAATGAAACCCTGTGGCTTCAACAGTTTTTATGTTACGAATTTCGAGTTAATTTTAACCGAAAGCCAGTTAATTTCTGAGTAGAAAACAATTTTTAGTTTTCGAAATTTCCTCCCCTGCCATTAATGCAGCGCTGAGGAAACCGCCTGCAGTTCTCCGCTGAAGCACGCACTAATTCCTGGGCAAAGTGTTCCATTCCGTGGTCAAAATTTTTTTTCCGATCTCTACACTTCTACGAGGCTTAGAACACACATTTGCCCCTAACTTTGACCATTTTTCATAATCCGGAGATTCAAATCCAGAAAGTAGAATTACCATTTCCGAGAGGAGGAAAAGTTCGGAATTTTGTTTTTTACCCACGCTTGGGTCATTTTTTGCACTATAAGCTGATTCCTAGTCCTACTGCAAGGTCCAGTCGACTTCAATGAATTGGATCTCACTTAGGGGATGTACCGCGGACTCGAAAACGTATTTTAAGAAATTTGATCCCCCCACCTTCCCCCCATTTTCAACAAAATGTAGAGAAATTGCCCCAATTAGCTCCCACCTGCCAAAATCATCACAAAGCTTGGATAATGTGGCTTTCTGACCTTTTGTCTATGTTGGGGGATGTCTCTGACAGATTTGGCGTAGATAAGGCCAACTCGCTTGTTAAAATATTTTTCCTATGTGAAAATCTCCTCATCTGTAAATAGAATCCTCGTCACTTTTTCTGAGCGTACCGCTTGAAGTCACTCCTGAGTTTCTTTAATCTGGTTTCCCTTTGGGGGATGGTCGGCATGTGGCAAGTACCACATTTCAAAGTCCTAAGTCTAAGGTTCAATTTAAGCACTCATTGAATAATCTGCTTCTACACTGTCAGCTGTGAGGTTGGTTTCCGTTGGAATTTCGTGAATTTCTTCGGATTCCATCCTTCAGCGCCTTCATGATGGGTGTGGTCCTTGTAGGATTTCAAAATTTTTTTCTTCGACTGTTGTTAGTCCACCCCGCCCCCATGAACGTCTTTATAGTCTGTTGGGCTAAATTATACGGCTCGTTCGATTCCTGCCACACTTTTAAAATTCGCCATTTCTCTCCCCATTTTTGTAATGAAAAATTTTCGCCGCCCGCTTCCATTCAACATTTTCCATGCGAATTTGCATTGCAAATAGTAAAAACCTGATTTATGGTACTTATGCAAAATCGCACGGGGAATCCAATGCAATCATCAGATTTTCATTATCTCTGTCGGTTTCGAAGAAAACAGCCACTTACAGTTACAGTGGGCCCAGTATGTAATTACCGTTTGATATTATTATAAAACTGGATTTTTAAGAGTAGAGGTAAGATTAAGCACGCGGGTTATGCTTGAATAGATATTTAGGTAAATTTTGTCAATATCAAAGTACCCCTACCAGAACAAGAAACATTTAGGATTTGACCAGTCGGGGTTACGTGATACTTTGAGAAGTTTACCTAAATTTAAAGTTCCGACCTTCGTGTAGACAATTTTGGTTGCAATATATATCGACATAGAAAGGATTGTTTATATATAAAAAGTCTCTTAAATACAATTGCTATCTCGTTTTTATTAGAACACAACAGGGCTGCCTTCGCTCTTGCCGAACTGGTGGACAATTCCCTCTCCGCCACTGCTAACAACAGCGGGCGAAGGATCATAGAAATCCTGTTTTATGAAAATGGGCCAAATTCCTCCGTAGTCGTTCTGGATAATGGATGCGGTATGAGCTCTGACGAACTTCGTACAAGCTTGAAACATAAGGCTCCAAAAGAAACACGATTGGTAGACGAGTCCCCTCTGGGCTCCCAACAAGACACCACTGACCCTAACGAAGCTACCTACCCCATGTATTTAACTTCCAAGCTCAATAAATTCGGCGCCGGCATGAAAAATGCAATTTTCTCTCTTGGCGGTGATACCACCATTATGACGAAGAGAGCGGAAAGTGAGAGTGTTTGTGAAGTTTCATTCTCCAAAAGTATTTTGGAACAGAAAGAATCGCAGAATCAAGATCCGTGGAAGGCGGATATCTTGACCGGCAAAGTGGCAAAATTAAGAAGCAACACAACCTCTGGAATAATTAAGCAAATCGTTAAGAAGGAGGCACGTAAATCCAGCTTTACACATATTGTCATCCAAAATCTAATGCGAGATGGAGAGGAGTCCTTCCTTCATTTTTTACAACGGATCAAACCCAGTGATACTAGCGGAACCAATCACCCAACAACTATTGAGGAACAACTAGCTCATATTTATCACTACTACGTCCACGGACCCGCAGGAAATGCTGAACCCGAAGAGGAAATCCCGTCAAAATCGATGATTGACATTATTGTCTCCCGATTCAACGGGAAAGGAACCAAAACGTCGTCAACCAACCTTCGCGACGTTTGCTCGGATTTGGAATCGCGTTTCGTTCGCACGGCGTCGACAGACACCTCCCCTTACCGCTTTACAATTCAGTCTCCCCGGGCGCACAAAGTGACAGGAATTATCCGCTACCACCCCTTCGAGTACGACCATGAAACCCTCCCCTCGATCCACAATAGGGTAGCTGATACTAGTCGAGAGGATATTTCGGGACAAAAATTGTTCAGCCTCTGGTGGAATGGACGGCTCATTCCGCAAACATTTTTGCCTGCTGCAAACTGGTGCAGTCCCGCAGACGGGATGAAGCACAGTGACAAACTTTACAAATCATACGGACGAATATCTGGCTCCCTCTTCCTTCACGGGGATAACTGCGAAATAAACGATAATAAACTCAACCTAGTAACAACATCTGGGTTGAAGGACTTACTTACTGAGAGCAAAAGTATTTCAAGTCGTGATATTATATTCCAGGAGATATCTGTAGAAATCGAACCTCCTAATCACTTTCGCGCCAAACGTATTTCCAGCGGAATCAAAACAAGTTTCGAAAAATGGCTCACAAAAAGCCGAGAGTGTGACAGGGAGGTCAAATACTCGACCTTAATAAATGGTAAGGTTCTGAGCTAAATGCACTTATTCATATGGTACTGTATGTATGTATCTGCATTTCTATTTCTATTAGGTCACTGATTTTGGAAATCGTACATGTAAACCTAGGCGTATATATTTACTACATAATATGTATAAATCCACTTTTACTTTCATTAGAAGATGCTGTAAACATGTACGTAGGGGCACAAAGTGATTTTGCGTAAAAAATTGAAGAGGAGGCTTAATTTCGAGCTTTGGTGATTAGTAAATGTTTGTATACGAGCCCCAAGAATATTCTGTTGAAATATCGTTTGCTTTGGTATCGACGTAAAGTATTCAGTATAAAGTATTCAGGTAGGTTATTCTCATTTTAGGAATTTGCATGCACTTATTCATGTATGCAGCTCCGAAATTGGAAAACACTTCAATACATAAATATGAAGTTTTCATAAGAAATATAACACTAATATAGGAAATAGAAAAGTGGATGTTGGATGAGGTGTATGTACGAAATAACTGTTTGTCTATATTGATTCCAATTTTAATCAGGAACATAAATGAGCCAACTACTTACGTATACGTACATAAGTATTTGTGCAGCACTTGGCCCAGAGATTCGATTTTCCCACGACTTGCAAAACCAGACATACCTAAATACATTCATACAAACGTAATAAATACGTCAACATAGACAGTCATCAATCCGTTCACGCCAGTTCTCACTTTTATCTACTTATACTTGTCTCGGTCTGTATAATTTTAGAATTTTCTGTCTGTCTAATTTTCAGATCAAAAGATCACTCTTCCCGACACCGGACCCGAATTATACTACCAATATAAAGTTGCCGAGTGGGAAGGGGTTCGACTAACTGCAGGAAACACAGTAAAAATGAGTAAGCCTAACTCAAGCTCCATAAATAGCTTCGGAAAGATAAAATCATTCTATGTCCACTATCGGAGTTGCCACTGGTTTGAAAAAGATGACGATTATAAGGATGAACCACAACCTTCCGTATTTGCTCCCATATCTTATTTTGGAATCGAACGTCTTCCTGCCGCCTTTTATGTACATGAGGGACAGTCACCAATTGAAGTCGAATCAATGGCATTAATCGACAAAAGTGTGGCCCCTTCGGTTGCCGCACAGCAAATTGAGGCCAAAAGCAATGAACTACAACTCGATTTAAAAATTGTTGATTTCGTACACAAATTAGAAGATAACTTTGAGATCTCGGCAAATGATCACATCTTCGACCCTGTTCGTTTCGACGTTGTCAAAAAAAGCGATGGCACCTCGGTCAAGGGTTTCTTCCCTTTTCATAAGCCAAAGGGGAAAAGAATCATCCTCATTTCAATGATCCATAAACTAGGTTCGTATTTATTTTCTGTTCCACACCTCAATTGAAACTTACTTAGTAAACAAATATTCTTTAATAGATGCTCAGCGCAAACGCCACCTAGTTTACGAGGGAAAAGAAGTTTGCCAATACATGGGAAAATTAAAGCCCAGCGGATACCACTTCAAAGAGCTGGGTAAGTCACAAGTATTTAATTAGTCAATGAAGTGCAGCGAATTTGACGACACTGCTTGTTATTCTATATCAATTTTGTACATATACAGGTAAGTATTTTAATAACTATTTAACTTACCAATGCGACCAATTTAAGCTACAATGCTATTCGTCTCAGAAAATAGGCTTGCGAAGACAAAATTGTTCAAAGCAATTAATTTTGTCTCACAGATATCAAGTACCTGTAGATTTTGTTAGCATACTACATTCAAGGACCGTCATAGAAAAGGGATACATACGGGGGTGATCCCATTTTGATTTAGAAAAACGTACAAGGACTAATATTTCGGAAATATTTTCTTGTATTTTTTGACATTCAAATACATTTAGGAACCTCTGATTTTTTGTAGCTTCCTCAGTCAAGTATTCAATTTATACGAGAGCATCAAAAATTTCCTCGAAAAAACGAGGAAATTTGCGATTTAATTTTACCGTGGCTCAAAAATCTCTTTCGCCTGATCTAAGTTTTCAGTTTTCTAAATCAATAATAGTCGCTAGAGGCAAGGTCTGAACTGTACGGGTGGTGGTTTGCCACTCCGATACGATTTTCATCCGTAGCAGTCCTCGAAGGAAGAGCGGTGTCAAGCGTCGCATTAACGTGTATGAGATGCACCAAACTCTTTTCTGTGACTACACATCTCTATTCAAAGGTCAGACGCAGCTTCTTCAAAATTTTTGCATATGTTGCACAATTTATCGTAGTATTTGTAAAAAATAATTTGAAGAGAAGAATATTCATCGCATCTAAGGAAACAATCAGCATCCACATCTTGACCGATTTTTTAGGTTTTGCCTCCGCCGGGTGTGTTGAACGCTGGTGCGTCCATTGTGAAGATATTTGTTTCTTCTGTGCTTCATAATAATAAAGCCAGGTCCCATCCCTACTCCCATCCCTACTCCATATATGCACAGTATTTTAATTGTCATTGGAAAGGTCCACATTTCCTTCGCACATATGATACGAGTTAATTTTTGAGACGGTAAAAGTAAATTAAGAACCCAGCGGGCGGATGTCTTTTTCATTCCCACATCCTCAATTAACTTGGAATAAATTGTTGTTTTTGGAATGCATATATATGTAGCTAGTTGAGACATTCTCGATCTCCAGTTGGACATGTCCAGTATTGGCAATTTCAGAAGGTTTTCATTGGAACTCACTGTTTTCGGACGTTTTGGAGTTTCCAGGTGCAGCACTGATTTCTAACCCCTTATTAATTTATTCACAGAGTTGCATATAGTGTGTCTTGAAGGTCACCCTTCACCCTGCACTTTAAGCATACGGTCATAAATCTGCGCCACAGATTGTCCCTCGAGCGACGGAAACCGTGTGACGCCATTATGCTTTATTTGGAAATCTGTCATTTTTCTCGTCGAGGTAATTTTTGATAATTCATAGCTAATTCAGTTTTTTAGGTACCGAAATGAAAAAAATCACACATTTCTAAGTCTTTTCAAGGTTCATTAAAATGGAAAAATTTTGTTCGAAAACTACCTCCTTCATAGTTTTTCTAAATCAATATGGGATGACCTACATACATAGATTGTGGCTTTTCATAACCCTCGTCTTATAATATTTCGAAACATTCATATTAAAATTTTATCTGTTCAAAGTATATCAAGTTGATGGCAGACATACCGACAAATTGATCGTATTAAATTTGTTGGTAGCTATGTATTTACCTTTTAATTATATATCTCTACAGATACCAAGCATGGGAAATGTGACCAAATTGGGAAATATATTCTAAGCTTTCGTTCTTACATTGTAATTTCCACCGGATCTTCGCCTAAACATGGGACAACATCAACAGGAGGCCTACAGAGAGCAGCCACGCCTAGGTTGCCAGCAGCTGATTCTCCCTACGAGATCGAATGGGACCAGCCAGTAGATTCTAGGGGCAGAAAGATACTCAACGTTGACGGTGCGCAAATACGGATGCCGTACTTAGAGTTCAATTTTTCCGTTGTTGCCGGGCCTCCAGCCGAGTTCAAGATGGACGAGCTTAGTACGTATTTCAGATAGTGGTTGTAGAATTTACCACATTGTGACTACCGTGCATTTAAATGTGATAACATTTAAAACATGGTTTATAGATCTAATTATAATGTTCATACGTATGAAGGTACCCAACATCTTACTATCGGGGTGAGATTCAAAATTAGTTTTACCTGTACGGATGCCAGCGGAAATTCCGTTACTGGAGAAAGCCTGGAGGTTGCAGCTGCCTTGTTGGTTGAGCCGAAGATCACTTTCTTGATCAAGTAAAAATTGCATTAGATTGACGCCTTTGATAATCTTACATTCAACTATATTCTGTAGGAACCACGTTGATTCTCAACTTTCTTTCACATTTGGGGAGTTGTGTGTCGACGGTGATAAATTAGTTATTAACGACGTAGTCACGATGGGACACCTGAATAACAAGGAATGTAAGGTGAGCCTATGCTAATGTAGAAACTTGACGTATCTTATCCCCGTAATATGCTCTTGTTATGGAGAAAAGTCATATTAACCTAAGTACATGTATTAGGTAACCTATGTAACTTCATTCCAATTTTTATATATATGGTATGTATCTGTGTCCAACCGGCTTCATGTTCAAGTCATGCTTGCGTCAGCGTATTAATTTCTAGTTAACAAGTTTGCTGAGTATTTGTCATACTATGATTTCTCTAGAGTATCTTCTATAAATGGGTTTAATTAACTTCAGCTCAATGTGGTACTTGTAAATATTGTGGATTTACTGACATCCGTGATTTTATATTGTTAGTCTTTATGGCCCAAGATGAACCTAGTTGGTATAGGCTTATATACTGAAAAATTGCTAATTGCTAGTCGCCCTCATATTTTTGCGCTATCATACGGACAAATATTGCTATCAGGAATCCCGAATGGGGTTCCCCTTAAATTGCTGGGGATGTGTGCACTTTATAACTTAATTGAGTTATCTCGTCATTTATATATTTTATGAGGAATAATGTGTATGGTCTTTATCTTTGACTATTTCCAACTTGCTTCATTAACACATTCCGTATGCTTCATACGTTCACCTAACCTACTTCCGTACTTATTTTTGTTCTTATCTATATCTAGTATGGCAAACTTCAAGTTGAATTTACAATGAACTCAGACAACGCGAAATCCTGCTCACGTAAAGTTAGTGTCTATCCTGGGATCCCTGTCCGAATTGAGTCCCTCCAACAATCTGTGCAAGTGGAGAACGGATCCAAGCCAAGTTTAATCTGTCGTGTAGTAGATTGTGGGGGTAATGTTGTCTATGTCGACAAGGATAAACCAATCTTGCTGGACTGTGTCATTTCTAAAATTAATGGAGAACCTGTTCTAAAGAGTAAATTCCTGGCGACACAAGATCACCCTCAGAAATTGGAGGGCGGAATTTGTTTGCCGGAACTAAGAAATTCTTCCGCCGGATCTCAGATTGCATTAAACTGTCAAATTATGTACAGTACTTTAGACCCCGTCACTGTAACACTTCAAATGATACCCAGCACTGGCCCACAAGTTATTCGCATTTACTTAACAAGGAAACATAATTCTGTTGAAGAACAGACAATGGAAATATATGACGAATCTTCACAGGAGGTAAACATTGGGGAGGAATTAACATTCAGTTACAAAATACTAGATGGAACTGGAAAAGAAATTAAATTCAATCCTACCCTCTACAAAATTAAAGCTAGTTGGGCGAAGAATCTAGTGACTGATGAACACATGCTGAAGTACAAGGTCCCCAACCAACTGATTCACGGGAAAGAATTTGTAACCAAATTATCACTTCTTGGCGACAAATATGGAGAAATAATAAGCCATTCTTTTAGCTTAACATCCCTGCCTGGGGAGCCTGCCAGCCTGCGTGTAAGGGTTGTCGGAGCTAGGCCACGTGAAGTTATCAACGTCCCCATGGGAAATAAACTACCAGACTTAATTGGTAATATCACAGATGGCAATGGTAATATGATCAGCGTACTAGATAAGGATCAACTAGAACGCGATTTGGACATTTCGGTAAACGAATTAAAAGTTATCCCGGAAATTGTGTGCTTAAACAATACGGAAGGCTCTTTCGTAATAAGAAATGCGGATATTCAGCCAAATCAAAACGCTCCACGAAAGCTTGGAAATATCGACTTGACTGTTATTTATAAAGAAGAATTTTCTTCTACTATTCAACTAAACATCGTTCCTGGACCACCCGTGGGACTAGTTTTCATTCTGAATGGGCAACAGCAAGATCAGAGGGGAATATTCAGCACCCCAAATGGATCACAAATTACTACATGTGCTCGACTGGTTGACAGGTTTGGGAATTTCACCAGAACCGAAACTCCTATCACAGTAAAACTAAACTGCTTACCAACGACGGATTGGGTTGACCAGGGGCGAACACCTAATACCTTCATAATATCAGAGGATAACGACGGCAGAGCAGATTTCCACACAATTACAGCTCAGGTAAAACCAGGCATTAAGCCAAAATTGGATGGTAGCTGTAAGCTGAAGGATTGCACCGGAAACTGTTACGGGGGACCCTTAAGCCTTAAGGTTGAAGCTGATTTTGATGGTAAGCAGATATCAGACATTTGCAAGCTACACCTCACATGTCGCTCGGACATACCGAGTAAGTTAATCCCAGAAGACGCTGGAAGTCAGGGATCTTTTACGTATCAAAGCGGTTCAAATTTCGATCACTTAACGGTACCTTTGCAATCAGAAGATGGCAGTATGTACAAGCAAGCGGAAATAAATGCGCTAACCCTAAGCCTTACTCCGCTCGGCGAAAACAATCCAGCACCTCATGAAATCATCGACATACAAGCTGACAAAGTGCGTGAAGGCATCTACACTTTTGGGCAGGTTCCAACCAAGGCTGGGGTTTATACCACAAATTTGATTTACCGTTTCGGAAGTACACAAATTACGGAAATATTTAAACCATTGCACGTTACCCCTGGGCCGTGCCATGCGCTTCTGCCACATCCCATGCCGACGAACTTATCGGCATCAAACCATCCAGAAAATTGTGAAAATAGAGTAATCTGTTATAACCTAAAACTCGTAGTACGCGACCAGTATAGCAATCCTATTTGGACAGATGAAGATAACCATACAGTTGAAGGTTACGTTAGGATGGAGTTCAGGGGAGCGTTACAACTAGAACATCTTGAAAACCATGTAAATCTTGCATCCGGCTTACCAATAAAAAATGGGTGCGTACTTATTCAAAAATTATCACTTCTTCCAAACCTCGCCCTACCCAACGGCTCTCAGCAAACAATACACTTCATTGCACGAATGATAGACGAGTCAGAATTTGTCTTCCCCTTGGAGTTTACATTCTATAACAGTGCTCAGGAACTGCAAGCTTGCCGAAAATTGGCGAACGACATTTCTGCTTTGGACAAGCTGATAGGCAGTAATGAGGGACGTGTTCAAGATTTGTGTAGACAGATAAATGCAATTGACCAAAAAATTAAGCCACTAAGAGACGCAAAACGAACCTGGGTTGATCAGTTAAAGCTCCACGCTCCGACCAGGTATGTGGCAGCATTGACAACATCCAAAGACATAATTCACCTTGTAGCCAATGATGCACGGAAGGAGAAGGATCTTGAAAGTAAACGAAAAAAGTGCAACGTCCCAGCAGGTCCTGCAGATGGTCAACCAGGAGTTTTAGGAACGATTGGGTTATTAGCGGAAATAAAGCCCCAAACGCAGGGTAAGGAATCCAACATATTTAACCGTGATTGCCAATTTATCCATTTACCTAATACGCCATTAAGTGCTATAGCTCATCTATCAAATCGGCGGCCTTTTTTGTGTGGCATCCTTCTGGAATGCAAGCCAAAGTTTTAATAGATTAACTACATTTCATCTATTAAAACTTCGTTATATATATATAACGAGTATCCCATACGTGTGTACATATGCATCATTTACTAGCATATCTATGTAATAAATAATAATAGACTGCTCCTTCACATTCCGCAGGGACGGATTTAAGTCCATAATTTGTTTATCCAATCCACTTCTCTTCACCATAAATATACTGTTTTCACCAATCATTCAAAATTTTGTTTGAATAATTTCTATAAATATTCTAATAAAATTCCAGTTTTGTCATAGATTTTACAATCGTATACATTTGATTTTTAGAAAGACATCTAAAGTTATCATGTTTTGGGGAATCTTGGTCTTTCAAATCAAATCCTAGATTTTCCTATTCTAATATTTCAGACACTTTTCCAAACTTTCTTTTAAAAAAACACGTACTGCAAATTTCCAAGATTTCAAAATTTTCGGATTGTCCCTAAAACTATGACAATGAAATCTCTGAAATTGTAAACTTTATGACAAGGCAGATATTTGCTTAGGCTTGATATGGACTGCAATTTGGGAAAATCTATGAATAACTTGTTACAGCAGTGAATTCTTTGGTGGAGAAGTATCATGGGTTTTATTTCTATCATGAAAAAAACGTTCTATGGTAAAATCTTACCCATATTATAGATGTACCTCAAATTCAACAATATTGAATTCGGTGCCGTTTGAACCAATCTGACAAGGCTCCCTCGTGAGTATCAAATACGAATCTTCAAAATATTGTATTCTCAGGTTGACGGTAGAAATGTACCAGTTGTTTCTTTTTAATATATATTTACATGCCTAACTTTAATCGCCACCGTGGGGGAAACGAGAATATCTTCTGTAAAAATATGAAACCTGCCTATTGCACATACCAATTTCTAATGTCTATGAATAACGTGCCCTATCTTTATATAGATGAGTACACCCCCGAGGATGCAAACATACAACGGGTTCTCTCCTGGCATTTACAAAATAAATTGACGGTCACCGTGACCGAAACTGCGGCCAAAGGTCACGAACTTGAGGAACGCTATAAGGACGATCCATTTATGTTGTTAGATATAATCAAGGATCATCCACCCTGGGACAATAACCTTCATGGAGAAGGAAATCCAATATATGCACATAGGTTGCTTCAATTTACAAACCCATCGCCCAAGGCCCAAGAATTGACTAAAAAAGTGTTTAACAAGGTCCTCGGCGACACTATAATAATAGATAATATCGAAAGTGCGACGAAGTATATGGGGTTACGTAACGCCTCAGGAGCGCCTGCGTGTCCCACTATACTCACCAGGGATGGGCGGCGGCTTTATGGAGACGGAATAATTGGGGGTAAGTCGACCCGGGCACCTCCCCAAAATCGCTATATGTTCGGATTAGCCCCGACCAGTGAGCTTGTTCAGATTCGAGAACGGTTGAAAATCCTGCCTTCATTGAAGAAGGCGATGGAGGGCCTGGAGAATGCCGAAAGGGTGGACGGACCAGAGAATGCGGCTCTGAGGGAGGATGTGGACAAACTGCGAACTGAGATTAATAAGCTTGAAATGCAACGAGCAGAATTGAAAAAGAAGTTGAACCATCTGACGGATCAAAGTTCTAAAGGGTTACCAACACAACAAGGGCCGACCCCTGCTTCGTCACCGGTGACGAGATCAAGCCCAAAGAACTCCAGTGCGAGGAATGGACAACCCAAGGCAAAACGAGGGAGGTACAAGTAATTGGTAATTACTTGTACATCACTCATATATGTAGGAGCATTCTTTACGACGGTGGGAATTAAGAAAATGTTAGACATTTTGATGGAAGACGTGTTTCGCTCCTTTAAATTATTTAGGGATAATTAAATATATCTTGAAAAAGCAACAAAGAAAAAGGTAAAATGGTTAACTTTTACAATTATTTTCGTTCCATACTATCCACAAATAAGAACACCGGATTGAATATTGAGTAATTTTAAGTAGGGTCAGAGCGTATTAGTGTGGACACTTTTTTGAAGATTAAAATTACTAAATTCAATAAAAACAGTTTTGTATTAAAAATAATTATTTTGAAATTTTTTTATGATGAAGTAACTAGTTGACATTATTTTAGGAGAACAAAATTTTGGAAAATATTATTGGAAATAATAGATATTAATTTTTGAAAATATAAAAATAGGTGTCCACACTAACCTCACCATGTTGGCTTAGTGTGGACACTCTAACTTGTTAACATGGGGATTCCACTGTCCACACTAACCCCTTTTCAAAAAATGCTTTTTAAATTAAAAAATTTTCAAAGAATTTATTTGGGATGAAAGCGATTTTTATATTTTTTCAAATTCATAAGTCAGAACAATAAGGAACTGAAGTATGATGTGAATTTTTTTATTTTGAAAAAATGTAATGTTTTCTCATCGAAAACGTCACTGTCCACAATTACCTCGTGTCCACACTAATACGCCCCGACCCTATAAATGAAAGCATGTACTCTGTGAAAATGCATAAATATATATAAACGATATGTACTAAGTTAGTTCCTGTTTTTAGTTCCGAGTTTTCAGTGTTTTGTGAGAAAAATAAAAATCCGTGGTGCTATTGAATAAATATGTTTTTAGATATACGTATATATTTACTTTTCTTTCCACCTATGATGGGAAAGAGGAGTGTATGTGGTAGGTATTTCAAGGGTGCTGACACAGCCTACCGAGTCACTCAGGTACCTACGTAGGTACGCAGGTACCTACCTATGCACTTACACATTTACATACATGGACCGTGCTACTCTTAACTTCCTATAATTAAGTAATTATTACCCCTCAACCTTACCCAACCCAACCCTTACCCGATGATCCCAGCTCCGTTGTCCGATGTAGTGACGAGATGATAGTAATATAAGTGGGTGAGGGTGGTGATTAATAAATAATGAGACGACGGAAATATATTCGAGAGCCATGATTTATTTGCTGCTTCCAGGTTCCGCTCCACACAACTACTGACTATTATATTCCTCTCTGTCGCCTATTCTTGTCCACTTACTCTATTTACTGCGCACACTCGTGCCACCATTATTATTACTTGTTCTCTTAACGTATGCATACCTATATTACTGGCTAAGCCTACGACCTGATACTATCCAGTGCTTTAAGGATTAAACTTTAATCACAAATATGCAACTCCTTTTTGCATTCCAGATATTTCACAAAATAGTTCCTACAAAACTTGTAGAAAAAAATACAGAATAAGTATAATTTTAGATGCAACACAGAATAAACTATGAACAGCATGATGTCCTCGTCACACGTCATGAACTTTTAATTTAGAATTCTTTTCACTAATTTCATTTATCTTGTGGATCTGTTAGTTGCAGAGAAAAACATGCATGTGTATAATCCATATCTGCAGCCCAAATATTTCAAAAGTCTTACCAACTTGTCCAGGTTGACCAACTTATCGACACATCGGATCATCATATCATTCGTGACTGGCTCATATTTTGTCAACTCGTCCACATTTTCTTGAATAAAGTTTGGAATTGTGGTTTCCAGAAGGGATTGCAGTTCTTCTCTGGTCTTAAGCCTTCCCTGATCCACACTTGCGTTAAGAGGACACTAAAGAAAAATCTTTGAGACATCTTTCATATAGTTTATCCATGTAGCAATTATGACCATCCGTGTCACATACTTGCATAATATTTTAAGTAAAACGCTCAACTAACGTGACATTACTACCTCTATAACATGATGTTCATAATCGGCTGCGAGATGTACAGCATATCCCAGCAACTGGGACAGTTTTTCCACGCCAGATATATTAAACCTGATATTTCCCCGGATTCCAACTCCTTCTAGGATTTTATGCAACCTCGTCAATTTTCTTTTCTATTTCCAATTGCCTTGTGTAACTATCCTGTGTCAGACCAAGGAAATAATTACATTTATTTTTGAAGTCCACTGAATTAGCTTTAGTAGGTCTTTCCCTAAAATGTGAAACTGATTGTTGAATAAACTTAGAAAACTGAGTAGAATTACAGGTCCACAATGGCCTGTAATTGTACTTTATCATTAATTCTAACCGAGCCTTTGACACACAGCACCGTGCGACGGATTGAACTTTTTGTGGCCACGCGCATTTTCAACTTTCCCGTAAGGATATCATGTGTTCTCTATATCTCTGTTATTCCCCATAATATCCATTCCTGGTAAGTACTAAAAAAAGTTCAAAAAATTAGAATTATTTTGATAAAAAAAAATTCTGCTATAAGTTTATACTTTTGGCATGAGCGGGGTTCAAAGTTGGGATTTACAAGGGTAGTGTCACAAGTGATAATCGCGGATTTCACATACAACACATCAAAATGAACACAATATTTGTTATAATGAACTGAAATTAACTGAAATGTGATTACTAGTCATAATACATGATATTATAGCACGATAATGCAATGTTCGCCCGATTTTGGTAAAAAAATAAATATTGGAAAAATAAATTATATTTGTGTCATATATGATTAATTTAACTAAAATATTTATTTATTTCGCAGAACCGAGGAATCGAAATATGAAGAGAAGCTTCCTTCGTGGACATGATGAAAATTACTTGGTTAAATGATCTAGGATGAATGTTTGGCAATTATCGTTGGGATGTTCGGTGTTATTGGTAAATGAGTTAAAATAATATTCTTGTTTCAGATTACAATTGATTACGGTAGCGACACGGACATTGACATGGATTGGACACCAATTTCGGAAACACCAAACACCGTGGGGGGCCCATCGGTGGGAAGTCAGGAAGCTGAACCCGGAGTGTATGATGATCTTTCCCATACGGACTCCACACAGCAACCTGACGGACCTAAATCGGGCTATTCGTTAAAAAATGAGCACAATTAAAGATAATGCCGGTGGGTCTACGAATGACGACTCGGAACAGCCTTCTTCAGACCGACCTGACTTGATGGTGTCGCTGGCCTCAAGTGATAAGTCTCCAGAAACAAGGACACACGACATGACGACACGGAAGGAGTACCAACAATTATAGAAAAGAAGTTTTTGGCCGAAAAGGTAATATAAGGGTTATTTTATTCTCAAAATTAATAAAAAAAATTTACTGTTTTTTTTACTTAAATAATTAAAATCATATGGGTTTCAGATAGTAAATTTAAAAACACCGTCTGAACGAGTTAATTTTATCAAGACAACTGTATCAGAATCTTTACCTGCAAGTTTGAACGATCTGCAACAGGATCACTTGGACAGATTAGCAAGAGCTTGGGCCTTCAAAACAGTCGCCAAATATCAGAAGTGCGCAAGAAGAATGAGTTTTTTCTTGGACAAGGAAAAACAATACTTGGACGGTTATTTTGTCTTGCCTAAAAACTTCTTCCCTTCAGAAAGGACCAAGCGACGAAGGGTTGAAGAACTTGAGAAATCCTTGTCCCCTGAGGATCCTGGCGACCTTGTCCATGCAGTTTCTAGGACGTTAAATAAGCACGGACATCCTGAGGCAGCCAGAATTATCAAAAAATCCCTGTCACCATCGAAACAGCAAGTAATACTGGATTCCCTCAGCAAACCTTCAACAACTCCAACCCCTTATACTGCTGAAGAAGCATTGTCCCTAATTTTGGATTTGGGATTGACACAAACACAGTACCAGAGGCTTCGAGAAGGAGCTAACCAGCATGGATGTCCTTTATATCCATCCTACCATGAAGTTCAAAAGTGCAAGATTTCCTCAAGACCACCAGCGGATGAATTGTGCGTGACAGAGTCCTCAGCATCAATTCCATTGAATTCCCTGTTACAGCATACTGCATCTCGTATTGTCAATATGCAGAATTCGGTCTTGCTTCAAATATTTGCCTCTCAACATATATGTGAGATCAAAGCAACACTAATTTGCTCATGGGGATTTGATGGATCATCTGGACAATCTAGATACAAGCAGAAGTCTTCAACATCTTTTGACGACTCCTCAATATTTGCAACAACTTTGACTCCAATCAGATTGACTGCCGCTAATGGAACTATAATTTGGAACAATTCTTCGCCTCAATCCATTCGATTTTGCAGACCCCTACACCTGCAATACATCAAGGAGTCCCAGGAAAAAATATTGAACGAGCAAAAATATGTTGAAGATCAGATTGCAGTTCTCGACCCAATTGAAGTATTTGTGGACCTGGGGAAAACCATCACCATCAACTTCGACTTGAGATTTACTGTAATTGACGGAAAAGTATTATCAGCAATTTGTGGGGTCAAATCTTCAATGTGTTGCCCGATTTGTGAAGCAAAACCTTCAACATTTAATTCCATCGAAAATATTGGAAAAGGGTTGTTTACCCCGAAGCCCGGGCGTCTTAACCATGGTATCAGCCCTCTCCACGCTTGGATTCGACTTTTGGAACTTTGTTTACACATTGCATACCGCTTGGATATCCAGAAATGGCAGGCACGTGGACCTGTGCTTCAGGCAAGTGTAAAGAAGAGGAAGGAAGAGATCCAACAGTTACTGCTGAAAGAAATGGGACTGCGGGTGGATTTTCCAAATAATACTGGCAGTGGAACATCCAATGATGGCAACACCGCTCGTCGAGCATTCCGAAATTACGAAGAGTTCGCAAAGTTGACTGGATTAGATGTGGAGTTTGTTCGAAGGCTCTGGGTCATCTTGGTGGCCTTAACTTGTCAACTCCCCCTCAACGCTGACAAATTTGGAGAGTATTGCTTCAACGTAGTACAATATTACCTAACTTTGTATCAATGGTTCCCGATGCCTGCATCAATGCACAAGATCCTGATCCACGGAAAGGACATCATAAATTCTGGTATTATCCCCCTTGGATGCCTTGGAGAAGAAGGAGGTGAGTCTCGAAACAAGATGTACAAGTCGGATAGACTGCGTCATTCTCGAAAAATTAGTCGAACAGCCACTATGACAGACATATTCAATCGAGCCATGGATACCTCAGATCCCCTATTATCATCTCTTCATCTGGACAAAAGAGCCCGTTATCGAAAACAGTTGGCTCTACCTCAAGAAGTCCTACATATGCTAGAATGCCCATCTGTACCAACTACACAAGAATTTGGTGACGATGATCAACAAGTCGAACCCGATGAAAACAGTTTGGACTACGAAAATGAAATTGAACTTGAAAACGAGGTAAGTATTTTTTTCCCCATTATTTTATTCTAACTATACTAAGTATTAGCCCAACGATAAAAACCAACGACAACAAATGTTTTTAGTTTTATGAATCTAGTCATTTTTGATCATGTTATAAGGTATAAAGTTAAATTGAGTGATTATAAATTATGTTTGTTATTATGCCCATGTAGTTCTACTCAGCGGCCCCAAGCCATGTACCTTAATACTCTAATCCCAGGTAGTATTGCGGTTTTAACCGACAAGGGGCCCTACCTGGCTTAAATTTTCTATTTTCAGATCTTTGAATCGAGTTGGCATTTGCACATGTGAACAACTTCAAAATAATTACAACAAGGCGTACGTTACATTTAAGGTAATGTTTTTTTTATATATTTCCTGTATTTATTTTTTTTACCAAAATCGGGGGAACATTGCCCTATCGTGCTATAATATCATGTATTATGACTAGTAATCATATTTCAGCTAATTGTAGTTCATTATAACAAATATTGTGTTCATTTTGATGTGTTGTATGTGAAATCCGCGATTATCACTTGTGACACTACCCTTGTAAATCCCAACTTTGAACCCCGCTCATGCCAAAAGTATAAACTTATAGCAGAATTTTTTTTTATCAAAATAATTCTAATTTTTTGAACTTTTTTTTAGTACTTACCAGGAATGGATATTATGGGGAATAACAGAGATATAGAGAACACATGATATCCTTACGGGAAAGTTGAAAATGCGCGTGGCCACAAAAAGTTCAATCCGTCGCACGGTGCACAGTTGCGGATTATAAAATAGAATTTCCCACCATCATAAATAGTTAAAGGATTTGCCAAATGCTTTTGGAAACAAAACAACTTATGTCATAGATATGGTACACACCTTATCCAAAATATCCTGGCCCATCTCGTGAAGATCTGCCCTTTCCTGGTCAAGTCTCCTAACTTCGAGTTTTGCTATATCGAAGTAGCTACTGTTTTCAACGTTTTCCTTAATCCGTGGAACTCGATCAAGTAGGTTGGTGTATTTTGATAGAACTGTTTCAAAGTCACGACCAATAGATCCACGGGTGATCAGTTTATCCTCAAAATACTCCAAGGCTATGACGTGAAATATGATATAGATATGAAAAGCATTTTGAATGTGGCTATACCCCTGGACCCAAACTTTTTCTTAGTTCATATAAGGATGTAAAACCTAAATGTTCCTGTGGTATTTACAGAATATCCTGTAATGATTGTCCAGAGAACTACGTAGGAGAAACCGGAAGGACACTCGAGATACGGGTTAAAGAACATAACAGGGATATCCGACTGGTGAAGGATACCTCTGCCCTCGCACAGCACATTGTCAACAACCCCACCCACACCATCAATCTCAAAGATGCAAAAATCATTCACTACGAAACCAAATATTTTGCTCGGAAATTCAAGGAGGGACTCTACATAAACACTGAACAGCGACCCATGAATTTAAATGATGGAATGCAGCTGAATCCTATTTGGACACCGACGCTCATCCCTCTACTTTGATTTGTCATTGTAAAATTCTCCATGGCTTCGTAATGTCTACATTGTAAAAGCATTATTCATAACATATCCTTTTGAACACTTTGTATTTTGAAGTATTTCCTTATCGCTCCCTGAAGAAGATAACAGTTAGTTATCGAAAGCTAAGGAACAATAAACTTTTGTTAAAATGTCGTCCATGATACCCGTTTATAACACATTATCTAAGAAAATTTAGCTCGTTCTTATAATGCTAACAAAAATTTTAAGCCGTTTATAGAACATTTGCTCACATTCTGTTCGGCAAGGGGCAAATCCTTGTAAATTTTGACAAGTTCTTCCGCCCTGCTGTATTGCAGGGATAATTCTCCCCGTGATGGGAGTGTCTTATCCGAAGATAAAAAGGGCAGGAGTAATAACCGTGGCAGAGATGGAGAAAGCTAACTGAATCAAAATTAATAGGGTTCCCGTGTAGGACAAATTGGAAACATTCTTCTTAATGCGTGTAAGAAATATAGAAATTTGGCGTTAAGTTTGATATAAAAAATTAAATTGATAGAAGGTGTGTAATCAGCGGGATGTTTAAACCGAACTGTTAGAAAGAGTTTGGTAACTAAGTAGGTAAATATTTTTCATATACATATATATTTCTTAATTTGGCAGAATCCTCCGCGCGACCTTACATATTTCCAATAGGAAGGCAAGGAAGTAGATTTTCACATACGTATGTATTTATAAATATATCGATCCATAAAGTGTTGATACGTTCTAGCCGGATTTTTAGATTACCCTTGAGGTGCATATTTTACGGGCTATAAACTTTTCATTCGTGGTTCACATTTTCTCAGAAGGGACGGGTGAAATATTTTTGGTGAGAAAGCCCTCGGTCACTGTTGAAATAAATATTCTTTATTTGCTGGGATAATTTACCATTCTTTTTTTCCAGCGAGCTCAAAATATATCTTAGGATTATATTTGTTGTATCTATTTATTGTATAAATTTCTTAGGATTATTATTACCTTTTTCCGCTGATAACTTTCGGAACCTGAAACTACTGTGACTCTTATTTCCTACTTGAACAATGAGTTGGCCTTTTGAGGAAAACGACTAAACCCTTTCTCACCGAAGATACGCTTCGCCTTCTGAGAAATCCAGAATCAAATGGTACTCACTATAACATCACTAACCTATACTTATGTATTAGGACACATAAATACGTGGTGAAACCTGTTTCTAAATATGTGAAGTAAGCTAGCCCAGAGTAGGGATGACATCGAAACAAGTCGACCCGAATCTGCTTCAATAACCAGGGTAGCACTTGCCGATCACAAGAAAGGTGATAAAAATTCTTAAAAAATTATATATATATATATATACAAACTTATAAAAATTATGGGGTCTGCCTGAGACGTTCACGTCCCATCAAGAAGGGGTAAACTGATATTTTAGGGAAGTCGGCCACACCCTCTACTGAGATTTCGTATGGAAGCTTTCTATAACTTGACGACAATGTGTGGTCCAGCTGCACGAAGACTTATTTAGAATTATTTGTTAGGGCATGTTGAAACTTTTACAGTAGTCAGATCCAAATTGTTGCTAATACATACCTATTTTACACTGCCAAACAGAGTTCCATACAGGCAATCTTCATGATAATCATGGCAAGTCATCCCAGGCAAGCTGATACTAAAGTACGCATCAGATCGCCGCTGCCTCATAAGGTTAGTTCTATACAAATCCTTGAAAAAATTGGATCTCAGGAAACAGGCTCAACCTCAAATATTTGTACATGTATACAATGGCTGTAATTTAACGTTGCCTTCTGAGTTTCACTTCAAATAGTCTTTGTAGAGTAGTATAAAACTGGTATTTATTAAAAAGCGGTTGGATCTGAGTTCGGCAAAAATCTCAACATGCCCCAAAAAATGAAGATAAATAAGTTTTCACGAAGTTGGAACACAGCTTTAAATTTTAGAAAGTCTCCACCCAAAACGTTAGAATGCCTCAGAATTCGGTCGAGTCGTACACACACCCCAGGCATACCCCGTATGGATTGGCATTTAAATCCATAGTTTGTCCACAAAATATTATTCTACCCCGTATTGAGTGGGTCGGGTTGGCTCGGACACACCCCGTGAGCATTTGTTAACACCATTCTTATCATTGACAAGTGCAGCGCATGCTTGTTGAAGTTGATTCGACTCGACTCGTCTCGACGTCATCTCTACCCTGGGCTGGGCGAGTCTGGACTTGGATAACTCAATGCAAATTTACAACACATAAATATACAGTTGGAACGTATGCAAACTCCACTTGGATTTTTCACTCACTTGAGTTCCAACCTCCTACAGATTACCTGCCTTGTCCCAACTAAATCTCTTAATAAAATTCGAACTCAAATTTTCCAACCGCACATTTCTTCACTCGTTATCGTTTTAGACACAAAAATACAAGAATAATGTCTCCGACTTCCCTGCTAATTTTTACCCAATTATTTTCCTTCCTCCCGGCCGCGAAACCTGCTCCTCCCTTTCCATCCACAACTAACACACTCCCATCCAGGGACGAATTATCGCTTCTACACGAAAAGGCGGAGGAACTCGTCAAATTGTACCTCGATTTCATATCTTACGAGCAGAAGGTAAATTTAAACATAATTGGCGTACCTAGGTCTATTGAATTCACACTATTTATGTATATCTGGTCCTACCTAGTTTCGCACTTTACCTACTGTAATTCCTGTAATAACAGCCGGGGTATAGTTTTTCTAAAATCTATTATGGAATATCTACGCAGGCTTAAGTTATACAGGTCATATAATTCTAACCTGTCTTTAATTTTAATCAGGGCTCTGACATCAATTTCCCAGTTAAAAATAGTTCCCAATCAAATGGGAAATATTTAACTATGTACAGATATTCGATGTAATCTAAGAATATTTTCTAAATTTTTGTAGTTGGACGATTTTCTGGCACATTTTGAGGACAAATTCCGCCTCTATGAGTCCGTTGCTCGTGATCTTCCCAAAGTCCTTTCATCCTGCGCGGGAATACTTGAACGGATTTTCCAACTGAAAGACAACCTGAAAAACGGTGGCCCTTTGCATTTATCGAAACTCGAACTCAATAAAATTGAGAAAGATCGGACAAAAATAAGGGTCATGGGTACGCAATTGAATCAAAAAATGTTTACGGTAAGAAATTTGTTTACTTAATTCGCTTGATTACACTGTTCTTGATATTTATATAAAATCTTAATTTTTGCTGGGTATGATACAGTCAAGCCCTGAGTGGTGGGCCAGGGAGCTAGAAGATTCCAATAAACTCCAAGAGTTTGCCGACATTAGCGAGAAGATTAAGGACTACTCTAACATGACCACAAATTCTTACGCCGCCCTCAGAGACTATATAAATTTTCTCGATGAACCAGAGGGCAAAAACGCACACAGGAACGGAACCCTTGAAAATATTTATAATATATCTTCACTGGAAGAAGTCACAAAGATGTTTGGACACGCTGCAAATCTAGCCTCTGCGTATGAACATCTTGCACAGGTATGGATTTCACAGTGCCGTTTGGAATTATAAATAAAGGCTGCAGATATATGTGTATGTAAAAGGAGGATTTTTATATGAGCTCAATTTGTTCGAGGGCAGCTCCATATATTACGCCTAGTCCAAAATTTATTTTCATTTTGCCTTACCTCTAAAGTATTTCTATAGCGTTGGAGGATAAGGAAAATAAAAGCTAATTTCGAACTACAAATTGGGCGAGAAGGATGACATAATTATTTTTTTTTAGAATCCAGTCAACCAAGATCCTATCCAAGATGGAGCACTATACCAGAATGAGACATTTTTTAAGACCAGGGGAGAACTTAAGTTCCTTGTGGAAACCTCAATTCCAACATTGATTCAGGAAAATATACAAGAATTGCTAAAGTTTCAACCCGTCATGAATAGCTTGATGACCAGGTGTAATGACAAGATGGAGAAGCTGGATGATTTGGTAAGTGATTTTGTTAAATAAAATATACACATACAGGTACATTCCGTTACTAATTTCTGCCATGCAAACCTACACATTTTCATATTTTTTTCAATTGGTAGATACGCAAACTGGATAAAACTCGAGGCAAGAATATGCGTTGGGGTTGGCTTTATAACACCTGCGACCAAGCAGCTGTGGGATTTCTACTCTTTAACGGCTGGAATGGCATATTTAAACTTGTGTTCTTCACGCTACGAGATCAGCGAGTATTGTAATTACTCGAGACGGCTTGACTACAAATTCAGGTTGAAAGGGAAATACCTACAAGTTAAGCTCCTTTATTAGTTCGACCATCATATAGTATTTGTTGTTTAATTATTCTTTAATTCAAGTTGTATGTCCTATTCTCGGTAAATTTCAAAAATTTCAAAAAAAAGTTATTTAAGTTATTATTAATATTAGAGAGGTAGTGATGTACCCTCTTGTCCTGCGTATTTACGTTGATATTTAGTGAGTAAAAGTAATCAATATTTAGTCGTTGTCATTGTAATCGTGAAACGTCGTTTAGGATTTATTTATAGATTTTATAAAATTAATCGGTAACAACACGGGCAGTGCGTTGTATACGCAGAATTGTGCTAAGAAATAATTCATCACATAAATACCATGCTGTGAAATGTTGAGAAATATTTTGTAGAACATGTATGCGTTAATTACTGCAGGTTGTTTTCCACTTTATTTAATTCAAGATAAGTATAATGAATAAAGCTGAATAATGAGTAAAACAAATTTTGATTTGCAGTGAATGAGATGCTGCAAAGGGGACGTCTTTAAATTACGTAACGCTAAAAACCGATTTTCTAGATCCCCCCTTTAATATGGCGTACATATTTCGGCACGATATCATTGGAGCCAAAACCCCCTCCCCCCCTTCAAGCGTTACGTAATTTAAGGACGTCCCCAAAGGTGCAAGAAATTAAGCACTCATTAACATTAATTGCACCTGAGAAATGTTCGGTTAGATTTCTCCTTGTGAGATTCCTGTGATGAAACGTGAGTAAAATTTCTTTTAAGCATTAAAATTTTCTAAGCGTTTCCAAGTTTATTTACCTCATGAGCCCTCAATCTAGCACTACTGATAGAGCCCTTCTCACATGTTGGACATTTGTGGGGTTTCTCTGTAGGGTGACGCGGATGAACTCCTTCCCACAAATGAGACAAAGATATCGGGTGGGATTTTTGTTATGTTCCTGCCTAAATTTTGTGTTAAGGACACTTTTATCGAGATATGATTTATCACATCCTTTAAATGTACAGGGAATTCGATTTTGTGGAATTGTGCTATGAAGTGCAGTGTGACTTCTAGCCGAGGAGTTTTTAAAAATTCACTAACCACGTCAAATTCCACAAGTCATCGACTCCAACCCAGAATACGTGCGGACACGTTTTGTCTACGTACATACATAAATACATACACTCGTAGAAATTGGGTGATGATTATTGCCTGACGAGTCTGACTCTACCGCCAAGCTGATAAAGTTATTAATGATTGGTTATAAGTTTGGGATCAACTGGTTACATATTAATATAAACAAATTGGTATCAATTGTAAGCAATCTGGTAATAATGACAACCAATCGGTGGTAAATTTATCACCATAGCGGTAGAGTCATATATGACTCTACTCTCATATGTATATGTGTGTACAATTCTTAATAATATTTTTGCGATTGTATAATTTCGAAGAGTGTACAAACTATTTATTTTATACCAAACCTGTAACAAAACCAATTAGTTATGAAGGAGTGAATTACACCCCAAACTGAACAAAGTAATGTTATCCATAATGTCACAGTGTTGTATGTAAAATTATATATATCGCTATACAATTTAATGGTTAAACAGATAATCAGTTTGCTTAATTCTTTTGTAGATTGTATAATTAGCCTTATACGTTTAAGGCATAAAACAATCATCAAATTTAATTTCCTTAACCACTTTGAAAGATTTGCGATACTAAAATTCCTAAAATGCTCTAAGACACTTACACTTGTGGAAATCCCAACACAAATGGCATAAATGAGGAACAAGATTTTGATCTGGGAAACCCCTATGGGCACCCCCTCTTTAAAAAGATCAACCGAATTTTTTTCTTTTGAGGCCAAAACGATTTTTTGGTAATAATTCGTGTAATTCTTCTGCGCATTGCCATTACGTGCGTAATACATATGATGAACTTTAATCGATAGAAGAAGCTTTAGTAAGGAATAATTTCTTCTCCAATAATCCAAAACTCCAGATTCCACCAAATAACCTAAATTTTCTTCGTAATTCACTCCAAACATTGTCCTGGAAGTTATTGAAGGTAACTGTGTAGTACCTAAATTTGCCTCTTTATTAGGTATGATAAAATATTTCTTAAAAACCCCAAAAAGGGTATCAAATTCTTGAATGTCATCGACAGTATCGACCACTGCAAAAATCTTATGATCCAATATATACGCTACACTAAATTTGTTCAAAGAACCAACAAATTTTACATTCGTTTTAGTTCCGCTGACGAGATTTTGAAATCGAGTGCTTAGCCTCTGCCCGAGGAACATTTCCATTATGTAACTAACCATTTCATGATTATTATCTTCTTTAATGGTTGATGAGGCAGTGAATATGTCAATATTTTTAGATGATAAGAGATCACCAAAATTGGTTGGTACCTTGGGCACCCTGTTGGACGTGAAGATCGAATAAAACTCCCCACTAAACATGCTTCCCACGATGAACGCGTTAAATAACCAGACAACGATTATAAAATATGTCACAAAATCTCGTAATTTAGTAACCCTATCTTTCTTTGGTTGGATGAAAATGTTTGTTCCTTGTTGAAGAAAAATACTAACCGTCCACATCAACGGGGCAGATACAAATTTCTTATTTTTGAAAAGTACGAGACTTACGCAGCTTCCCAGTAAAAATAAAACTGAACAAGTCAAACTATCAAAAGTATTCAGAAACGCTTCGGCATTTATTTCAATCGGTAATGCGTAAATCCTATATCCTACCTGAGTTTGCACAATGTCATATTTCATCCAATTGTAACGACTCACTCTTCCCGGGATTGTAAATAGGGCTTCCACAAAGACATAATTCAATAAGTTCTCAGAAGCTATATCCCCGACAATATAGTAAACCGACCTTGTCAGCGTAACATTTAGTCGAATTTTTATTTCGGATATTGGACAGGTTGAGCTTGGAGTGTCCAATCCACAATGTCTGAAACTGCAAGGGATCTCCCATAATGTTCCATATTTCTTACGAATGAATGTTACGAAATGTTGATTCAAATTTTTCGTCAATCTCTTATAAAATTGGGGTAGGTCGACTAAATCGCGTTTTTTCAAGGTAATAAATTTTTCCATTAAAACTCTTTTGTCGTTAGTTAATTGCGGTGGAGTGCACGTATGACAGACGATTGATGTCATAATGTCTATCGTGTTGAAATGTAATATAATTGAAGTAACTCTAAATCCAAAAAAATATTTGAAGTAGTAGCCAAAATATGGGAACAACTTTTCTGGAGCTCTGTCAATAATTAAGATATAATTAGGATCTTCATTGAAAGCCGACATTGCCAAAAGTTGTCGAATTAGGGAAACTGGTGGAGAAAAAAGTACAGCCACTTGACAATTTGAATAAATATGAATGAACTTATTCTCTGAAAAAGGGAAGTTTGGGATTAGCCCTCGATAATCTGTTGCTGTACTATTGGAAAGGACGTATCTATTTTTGGAATCATTAACATTTTCAATAAGGAAATTAAAATTGAGTTGGTAATTCAGATTCTCAAGTTGCCCTGAGACTATGTCCATATTGGGGAAATCAGTTTTATGGTAGAAAACTTGAACAGTACAATACTTCAATGTATTTAAAACTTCGGTCCAGCTACGTACGGTTTCTGATAGCGATTCTGTATCTTGAGAAAATATTGATATATTAGTTCTATAAATGGTTGAAAGTAATACAACAAGGTGGATTTTAAAAGGAAATTTGCAAAGAAACATTGTGACAATTCAATTTTTAATAATAATATAAGTCTTTTAATTACTTAGTTGTAATAAACAATTTGAATTGTAGACTAGTGAATTGTTTTATAGTATGGGTTTTCCTAGATTTTACTGAAATAGTCTATGCAGTTGGACATGTTTTTGAAAGTGACGGCAGAGAATTTTCTGTACGTGTTAATAGCGCAGTATATGTTTTAGCTTTTATTCAGAATGTAATCTACCTTCGTTTTGGGTATTTGGTTAGTAAGTGGTTGCTAATCATCTGTGAATATACTTATGCAATAGTATAATAAATATATATACGTCCAGGAAAATGAGATTCGTCGACATAAATTTACGAATACACTAATACATACGTACATATATATAAAATTGTTATAGATAGTAAGTAATTTGAATGTGTAAGGTTAATGGCTATTATGTGCTTAAGTATATATTTGAAAGTGGCACGTATGGACTACAAATTCCAATAAAGTAGGTACTGTCCAAATGAACAAAAATAGGCGTTTAATATTACTAATCTCCCGAATATCCCAGGATGTATGTGGTAGTTAAACATTACATAAGTTTACGTAAAAAAGGTCCCAAAAAAGGGAAACTTGGTGAGGACTGGCACAATTGGATAAATACATTTTGAGCGTAGATGGTTTGCATTACCGCTCGAGTTATACAGCACACTGCTTGGTTGCCAGCGTAACAAAACAGTCACAGATAAAATTCACATTGTGTCGTCAATTTCACTCCGAACTTCACAATTCTTGAAACATTGGATGCTCAACTATTTTGTGCATCATCAAACCGGCTAGTGCCAATACATGTAGTCAACCGGAAGTAGATAACAGAAAGTTAATTTGAAGGTTTACAATCGATTTTAAATGTGATTGATGTAAAGTTTTGATACGTTTGACCTAACAGGACAGGATCTGAGTGGAATTATGACTGCATGATTGCTCTGTTTCAAAATTTTTATAGGCATAGTCATGTAGGCTGTAAAGCGCGGCAAATTTTGGGATAGGGTACCTGAAAGGTTGTCTTGGCTTCGCCGTAAGCATGAGTTTTTGCCATATTCATAGTTACATTGCCTCACCAAGAAAAAATGTTAGGGTTTTATAAGACAGGCATTTAGGTTTCTACGAACCGATTAAGCAGAAGATAGACTAATTATCTATGTGTAAGAAGAATTCTTAGAATTTACATAGACTTACATAGAGTCATTTGTATGGCCTTGAGCGGCCACCTTTAGTCAGGCCCATCCATGTATAATAAAAAAAAACATTCAAAAGCTGTACATATACCTAATGTCTATAATTAGTTTTTCGTCCAAAACAATTCTAAAATTTTTCCGCCTTCCAGTATTCCCATAACTGATAGATATTTAACTGGAGTTTTATTAAAATATACGCCCTCAGTAGATATTGATTAGTTTTGCATAATAAATAAATAAATTGTAGCAACTGGATATTTTGCGATACAAAAACGTTTAGCAAGCCGCATTATAAATATGTTGTTACACCCTGGAGGTTATAAACTAACTCATTAGATGTCAAATATATGCGGCTGGACATTAACAAGTAAGTGCATTTGATGATGTGATATTGTGTATTGTCTCTCTCATGTTGTCATGACTACTCTTTCTTGTGGGAAGGCTCACACTTGCTTAATAAGTTATAATGTGTAATGCTCAAACATATTTATTACGTC